CGCCCCCCGCGCACAGGACGATGTCTCCGACGACCCCGACTACCAGACGCTCAAGTTCCGCCAGCGCGTCAAACGAGCGCGACGCAATTACAGAAACCACATGGACTCTGACTCAAACTGAAATATTTATAGATAGATTTAAAATTGTGTTCCATGTTATTATAAGTTATCCGGTCTGGGCGATTATTTAACTATTTGTACTCTGTGTCTACAAGTTTCGTAAAGGTTTAAGGGTCTATCTCTACTATAAATGATTCGGAGGTGTACCCTGTTTTTAAGTTATTTTAGGGTTCATCCGGATGAAAGGCCTCCTTTGAACACATTTTTCCAATTTTATAATTACCTACTACGAACGACTAGTCTTTACATTGCCAATATTTTTTTAGAAGTTGAGTTTTGGCGCGATCTCAGAAAGAGTGTGTGTCGGGAGGCCTTAACATTGCTTATTGTTGTATAGATTAGTTATTGATATATTATAATATCCCCTGCAAAAAGATAAGAACGCTTACGACTTTGTCGAGTTATAAGTATTAATGTAAGAAAATTAGATTTTATAAAATAAAATTTAATAAATATTATTTACTAGTAACAAAAACTCTATTTGTTTTATTTTCATATTTATTGCCACGTAAAGATTTTAATTACAATCACTGAAGATCTATTGTACAGTTTTATTCTATACAATGCGACAACATGGACGAGTGGAACTAAATGTATTTTTATTTCCTATAATTTATATTCACAATTTGATTGCAGTTGTTCATGAAATATAATTTAATCAGCGACAGTGTAAAGATTTTATTTCTTCAGATTATTTTTAATCTTAATATTTATTCAAAGCGATTCGATGCAGCAACATTACGACTGTCAATGCCATCGAGTGTGTGTCATTTCAATAATCAGCTGCTCACTTTTGTCAGCTGTCATTATCAGTCTGTGTTGTACCGGTACTCGCCGTTCGCTAGCTTTTTCTCCTATTTTTTGGTCTAGACATAAATTAAGTTTTTCTATAGTTTTACATAATATATTTATTTCGATATGGATGGAATATCAAACTACAACACCTTTTTGGCTATGCACAAGCCTCAATTGGTTTCATCGGGCGTTCCTGAACATTTTTGGCACACACTGTGCAAAAAATTACGTGATCAGATTTTAGATTCCGGCGTTGCTTTTGAATTGATGCAGATAGATTATGAAGACAAGCAGAAAATGCCTTACGACCCCATCTGGTGTGTGATGGCGATAAGTGACATTGATAAGGCGAATTCGGATCACATTTATCTCGTAGATCATGCGTGGACTTTTAAGGCGAATAGTGTAAAAAGGAATTTACGAAATGTTCCTGGTCTTTTAGAAACCATGTGTAATTATATGCAAATAACAAGTACAGAGACAGAAGAAAGAATAGAAGAAGTGTCGCGAAGTATTTGGCGATACGCTCACACCTATGCTATATCAGGCAGTGAATTTTCAGTAGAAGATCGAGTACCAGTATGGTATGTTTTAGATTTGTTAGGTTTTGGTATCATACATTCTGATAATCCAAACTTTCGCGCTGTGCCATTTATTTATGTGCCGCATCAGTTGACATACACTTTGCTTTTTCCCATTGAAAATGTTGAAGAAGGTGATACAATCACTGTGAACTTTGTAGAGGGTCACTACCCAGATTCCAAACAGAGGGAAGCTATGCTGATACCTTGGAAGCATTATGAATACTTTGATGAAGATTTTACCCAAGAAGAACCCGATAAAAGGTACTTCTTAGAAGGTCACATTATTGAAACCCTACCTTATGTAGAAATCTTACAACATGGGGAAACCAGATCAGAAAAATTTAAAGTTTTCTCAGAATATTCTCTTATCAATCAACATTTGACTTTACGAGACTTTGAAATTGTTCATAATGAAGGAGATGCTGATATTTTGTGGTTAACAAACCATTTTAAGAATTTCCAGGAGTTCAGTGTTGATTCTCCACATAAATTTATTAATCAATTTCCTTTTGAGTATGTCATCACAATTAAAGATCTTTTAGCTATTGTGGCAAGAAGGTGTTATGAAGAAGACAAGAACATTGCAAGGGATAAACTAGAAACTTTACCAACTTGGTTACCTACCACATTTAATATGAAGACTGAGCTTCCCAAACTTGTAGCTTATTATATGCAACGGAAGAAAAATGGCTTAGATAATCATTGGATTTGCAAACCTTATAACTTAGCTAGAGGTTTAGATATTTATATCTCTGATAATTTGAACTTTTTGTGTCGACTGCCATTAACTGGACCAAAAATTGCTCAAAAATATATTCATAATCCAGTTTTATTTGAGAGACCTGATGTTGGTTTGGTTAAATTTGATATTCGTTATGTAATCCTGTTGAAATCTGTTAACCCTACTGAAGTCTACATTTACAATAATTTCTTTCTTAGATTTTCCAATAAAGCCTTTTCTCTTGACAATTTTGAAGATTACGAGCAACATTTTACTGTAATGAATTACGCTGAAGGTGTACAACTGTTTAGAATGCTTTGTGCTGATTTTAAAGACAACTGGGCAAAACAATATGGCAATTTTTCTTGGGAAGAAGTTGAAAAATCAATATTTAAAATGTTTGCTGAATTGTTCACTGCAGCTACATCTAAACAACCACCATTCGGAATCGCCAAGAGTCCACAATCCAGAGCGGTTTACGCTGCTGATTTAATGTTAAGTTGGGATGCAAAGGAGTCAGCGATGGAACCAAAGTTGTTAGAAATAAATTGGATGCCAGATTGTCAGCGTGCATGTGTGTACTATCCTGATTTCTACAATGATATATTTTCAGTTCTATTTTTGGATAAAGAAGTTGAAACCTGCACAAAAATACTCTAAAGCTACTTAATAATTGTCACAAATTCCCTGCAATTTCATTTGCAATAAGGATTCTAGTCAAGACTGTCATAAATTTTGCAGCATGTTTGCTTGAAACAACTATTTAAGAATGTTAAAATTAACAGCAAAAGCTTTCAAAAAGGCTATGCTTTTGCCTATTTGTATAAAAATGAGTGTATGTATGTATGATACACTGTTATGAATGTGCCTTGCAAATATATTTGTTAAGATAAAATGTATGAATTATGATAATAAACCATTTTTTCAATAAAACACAACAATATATTGAAGTTATTTATTCTCTACAATTGTACATTCTCAAAGACAACATGATATAAATCATACAATTAAACTTAGTACACATATCACTTTGAAAATTGCTTGATTTCAATAAAATAATTGTAATTATAAATAATAATAAATACCAAGATTAATTTTTCTGCAATATTCTATGTCCATCATCATGGATGACTCCAAATGGGTTCTCTTCATCAACATCACGATGGCTAAGCAGGACTAAAATTATTATAACCGCTATCAGAACAAACAGCATGATCCAGTAGCGTCTGTACAGACCACCAGCTCTTCGTATGCGAGAAGAGGGAAGTGTATTCCTATGAAAAAAATATAATGTAATAAAAATATCCTTTTGTAATAATGGTTGGTTTTTATAACTGGTAATTTTAGGACAGATTTTTATGTGTTTATGTTTTTAATGTTCATTTGTAATCTAAGGTTTTGGCTGGTATAGTAAAAAGTATATAAGGTATGCTATAGTAGTATAAAAGGCGAAAAATTGGCTGGATTGATGTTTCTTACAATGTATCACAAAAATGGTTTTTTAATAAGAGATGGGGCAAATGAACGGCGGGAACACAGAGGTGGTCAACTATACCCATGGACATCTGCAACACCAGAGGAACTATAGATGCCGGCCATTTAGGAAATTGTAGGCTTGCTTCTTGAAGGAAGAAAGGGTTAGCCGATTTAGAAGAATTCTGTGATAATCCTTCTGCATAATACTATTGTAGACATATCTTAAAACTTGTTGAAAGTGCTACTTACTTCCACCATCTGTTGACCCAGGCAAATGTTGATTTCTGTTTATATTTGTTTTCATCATGATCAAAATTTGTTATTACACTTGTGTTGTCAAGTGACTTGAAACCTTTTCTTGGTGCTTGACCACCTGCAGTTTTAATTAAATTATAAACAGTACCATCATATACCACCTGTGTTTTCCAAAGACACATGATACTTTTTTAAAAGTAAACATTTATCTATTTATTACATATGTTTATATTTTCTTTGTAATAAAACTAATTTCATTATGTATTAATTATTGAATCACGATTTTGGAATGGTATATATTCAAGTAATTATTATTAATTTCTAAGGATCACAGAATACAATATTGAAACAAACTATCAAGTCATTTATAACCTAATACTTTAGTGAATGCTAAATAGTTTGCTTCCCAATTCACTTAGAATCTAACGGATGTCAAGATTTTAATAGAATTTGGAGTTAACACTTATCAATAAATAAGCTATGACATTTGTTGCTTTAATATTTAGACCGGTAGTCTTTATATACTAGTATCAAATTTTAAACATGTAAATACCTTGTAAGGTATCATTTCTTTTGGATGTACCATCGTAAATATTGACAGGTTCGTCTGGAATTTGAATTACGGAATGTGGTGAGCTTGTTGCAGAGCGATTTGTTGATTCATCATCACTCGCTCCAACAGGAGTCCCGCGATGGCTATCCATTATATTGTTGGTATATTGGAATTTTTCAAGCGGAGATTGACTGCGTCTACTTGCAGCACCTTTCATGTCTTGATCATCTGAAAGCTGTTTATTAAAAAATTTTTATTATGCTTATATCTTACTAAAAGAATCATGAGACATATTCATAAACTTGTACTAACATATGAATTAAGCAATTTGTTTGTTTTACTGATTTTTTGAATGTTTTATAAATAATTTGACATCTTAATATAAATATGGTTCATTGTCATAGTTTTTAGTTTACACATTTAGTTTTATCAGCACCGTTTATTATTAAAAAAAAAAGTTGATATTATTATATAGTTTGTCTAAATTAGATTAGTTTGATAAATGACGCATATGAAGTATCGAATTCAATTTGTATGAGGGCAAATGCTGTACTTAATAGACAGGTATCGTAGTGACTGAACAAACTCGCATAGCGAACAATTATAAACTATCGATATTCGGTTGAAGTATTTATCGAACTCAACTAAAATTATTATTTTCTTATTAACTAATTTAGAGGAAAATTCTAGTAATGATCATACTGTAGAGAATTTAGCGTTGACAGAAACAATAGCGAAATCTAATTTGATTATGTACCGCCGTAATAGTATTTATTAATGTAACATTTATTAATGACACTCTTATTATTTGTAATGGTTCTGCAGGTCATTGTTAATTTGTGTTTTTTTTTTAAATTTATAAGTCATAACTATGAATCTATCGATTCCAACTTCTATAAGAATAAAAATCGAAAATCAATAAGATTTATGACTTATTTTACACAACCCATCCCTACTAAATTTCAAATTAATTGTCAAACTAATCTATTTTGATAAACAAAACAACATTTAGACAAACTATAATAATAATTTCTCAGTTGCATATTGATTAACAAACATATGTATTTTACCAAAGGTAGACCAAGACCGGCTCTTGCCCAGTTGACTCCAGCAAGTTTCTCTCTGAGAACATCAGCTACAGGGGACACTAAATTTGGAGGGGGGAATACTGGAGTAGCACAAGATGGGCACTGGTAGCCTGCAGGGGCTGTTGTGCGAGGTAACGCACGGTAACGAGATTCCGCACATTCCCAATGAAATACATCTGCAAGAATTATAGGAATTTGTAAGAGCACAATAATAATTATACCTATTTCATGTTTTTTATCACTATCCTTTCCACGTGAAAATAAACTCAAGTAGTCTCTACTTACGGTAGCAAGTTAGCCGGATGCACTCCCCCTCGGATAAACTTTTTGTGCAAATTTCGCAAATAGGATTATAATCACTGTCTTGTAGCCACTGAAGATAAGACTGTATAATGCACTATAAAGGAATAAAGACTTGTTTAGTATACAGAGTTTGTTCTTTAATTTAAATTCTGTATTTTCTCTTACCTTTGGATGGTTTGTTACCATACAATTCTCGCAAACATTCACTCTGTGTTCAAAACAAAATTGGTTGGTAACCTTTCTTTTCGGACATTTACACAGTCCCATTTTTTCTAAAAGGATAGAAAACTGATTAAGTTACAGTACTGTACTGTATAAATAATATTTTCTAGTATTGAATTATAAAAATCTACAATACATGATTCGGTTTCGTTTCGTTTCTATCTGGCTGTCACTGTCAGCCACGTAAATTATATGTCAATTTGTCAATAATTTGTTGTTATCGTTCAAAAATAATAAATTGCTAGTTGGGATCTATGAATGTTGGACGACTTGCTAATACCGCGCTTAATGGAAATCTGTAATTTATGCCTTCCCCTTTAGATTTTAGGAGTAGGTTGTCTTTATAAAATTACTGAATAATTATCATTTTACATGATTTTTAGTAAAAATTCTTAACGATTGTAACTATACACAGTCGTTTCAAAACGAAACTTCGTAGTAGACTCGACATATTGTTCTATAACATTAATATTCTTTGATTTCTAACGTCAGTGTCAGCTTGATGACAGCTGTCAGTTAAATTGGTTTTTTCGTTTTTACTTAAAAGCGAAATGAATAAATATTATTAAGTTTAGAAAACACAGTAATTATCACTGTGTTTATCATGGCTCTCAAGTTACTTTCACTAAAAAATCTAATTAAAAAGCCGATAAACATAATATTTAATCACACACCAATTTATCAAAACAATGCAGTTCATAACCTAAAAAAAATCAGTACTTCTCCGATAGCTTGTGTAACCTTTTTCAATAAATGTATGTATGGGATAATAAATTCTTAGTGTGCTTTAATTTTTTTTAATTGTTTTGTAATTATTATAGTACCTGCTGAAAAATTGTGGAAATCCGTGACATCTGTAAGTAATGCTGGAGCTAAAAAAGGTCGTGGGAAAGGTGCAGGACGTATACGAATTCGAGATTTGAACCGTGGACAAATGATAGGAGTGGGAAAAGTAAATATGCTGTGGCCAGGATTATCTGCACCTGTTATAAGAGGTAGAGAACTGTTGAAACAGCAACAACTACCTGAAGATCCTGAAAGGTGGGTATTTTTTTTATCAATAATACAATGTTACCTAGTTCTTATGTATTGCACGATTGTAACACTAATGTGATTTATATCTTTATAGAATGGAAAAATTGATAAAGTTACGAGATTCAATGACAAAGTTCCGTAGAATTAAACTGAGTTCCATTGAGCGAGGTTGGTCTGGAACTCGCATGCCGGGGCGAAGCATTGGACCTCCAGATCCAGTTGCTGATGGTAATATTTGTTAAAGCTAAAATGCCTGAACAATGAATTTTACTTGGAATAAGCACTGTAATAAAACTATTATTTACTTGGTAGATGATGCTTTTTTAACAGTTTTCCTTGCTTTGCAGAGGAGTTTACTGGTTTTGATACAAAAGTGCTGCAATTGAGATCTTTGCTAATCATGAAAGGCACTTTAGGCAGAACTCGGAACTACCAGGCAATGGTACAGTAAATATTACTATGTTATTTTTATTAACAATTAAACCAATTAGGTTACATTAGAATTATGCAGTTGGGGGAAATGGGTTCAAATTGGCTTAATTTTGTATTCATTATAAATCAAAAATAATTGTTTTGTTTGTAGGTTGTAACTGGAAATGGGCAAGGTCTTGCGGGTTTTGGTCTTGGCAGAGCAAAGGAAGCCCCAGCAGCATTAAGAAAAGCCAGAAATAGGGCAGGAAAGAAATTGATGCATTTTGACATTTATAATGGCCATACAAGTAAAGATTTCTCATTTTTTCTAATCAGATATTATTTTAATTAGTAAATTTACTTTTTAAATTAAGTAATCCATTAAACTGTTTTCTTATTCTAGTTTTCCATGATTTCTTTACTGCTTTTGGAAAGACAAAGATTTATGTTGAGAAAAAGAATGAAGGTTTTGGCTTGAGTTGCCACCGAGCTATTAAGGAGATCTGTCAAGCTATTGGTATTAAGGACCTCCGTGCCAAAGTGGAAGGCTCTCACAATTTGCAACATATAGTCAAAGCTTTCTTTATTGGTTTACTGCAACAGGTAAGATAGCGAGATTATAAAAGAACCCAATGACTGATCCTTAGGAACAAACTAATGGGGTTTTTATTACTTTCGAACATTTAAATAGATAATTATAAATTATTGTTGCAATTTAATGGTAGGTTTATATTGAAGGAAATGGATTATAATTTAGATATGCAAAAATTGTTTTTAAATAAAGATTTCCATTGAAAATTTTACAGTTCGTTCATAAATAATTTCTGAAACATGACGGGAAAGTTTGAATAATCAAGGCATGTTATAAGCATTGACATTTTTGATTTACAGTTTAAATTGATTTTTTAACTTGCAGAGAACACATCAACAGCTTGCGGAAGAGAAAAAACTACATCTTGTTGAATACAAGGCTGAAAATGAATATTATCCTACCGTAGTGGCCAGTCCCAGTGTTGTTAGGACAAAGGAAGAAATACCCAAAGATGAAAATTTGGATTTCATACAACATGTCATGAATGAGAAGGTTGTACTGAAAAAGAAGAAATTCCCAAGGTTCTATGAGACAATGCCACACTATGATATTTATCTTAAGAAATACGAGAGATACAGAAACCATGAAAAGATTCGATTAAATCTTAAAATTGAAAATGGTGAAGTGAAGAGTTTCCTTAATTATAAATATCCAGAGGAAAATGATGTTAAGGAAAGTTAGATGGCGCATGTAACATAGTTTTAGTGTTAAAATAAAATATTTAATTTAATGCTGTTGTTTTATTTATACCTGAGATAATGGGAAAAATATATTACAAGGTTCGTTTTAATTTTTTTTATTGATAAAAATTTGATTACATGTAATTCAAATTAATTGATCAGTAACCTAAAATCTACGAAGATATCACTCATAAAAATAAAACTAAACATTTCTTGACACTTTGAATGATTTCAAAAAATATGATTTTAAACTAATATTTTTTAAAATCGTTTAAAAAGTTAAAATACCACAGTTTTTAAAAATAGCAATTCTTCCATACATGTCATGGCACCCGATAGTCATTCCAATTATTAATAAAAAAATATTTACATCTATATAAAGCAATTAAATGCTCTAAAATGCTATATCGATATTGAAGCACCTTTTCTGTGTTCTACACGGAAAGTAAAAAATAAAAATAACGCCATACATAATGTACGGAATGCGTATTCACCGGTGTATATGTATTCAGCTTCGATACACAGCCCATTTAAAAATAACAGTAGAGTTCCACTGCATTTACATTTGAATTAATACATATTGCTGTTTCTGTTTTATCAAGTAATAAACGACCGAGATTTATTTTTAACACCCTAGGCGATTTTACAACGCCCTATACCACTACTGAAAGGGGAATGTTTTGTTAAGTGAGTTATTTACAGGCCCTATGGCCCCTATTAGGTGCCCTGGGCGTTCGCCCAAAGGCGCCCTGGGCGGTGTGGAAGGTAAAACAATATGTATTGATACAAGCGTCAATTTTAAAACCAAAGTTACATGAGATATTAAGGAACTAAAACATAATCATTGAAGATATTAATAAAAACTGAATTATCGTGACTGTAACGGTAAAAAATAAATCGTCAACGTAAAACTACAAGCTTATTTTAGCATGAGCTAGTGGGAAAAAGTTGCTCGATATTTTTTTTTTTCATGCAATGCATGTCTTAAACAATAATTATAATAAAGATTAGAGATCTTATTTTATGATGAATTTTCATCTATTCCGCTGCGGATTCTGAAAAAAGATTTATATTTATTAAAAAAAGTAATAATTTTACTTTTCACATATTTTCTCTATAAATAAGTAGAGTGCGTGTTCAAGTGTAAGTACGTAAGTGCGTGCGTGTTTTAGAGTAAGTACGCGAGTGCGTGCGTGTTCAGGTGTAAGTACGTAAATGCGTGCGTATATAAGTGTAAGTACGTAAATGCGTGCGTATATAAGTTTAAGTTCGTGCGTGTTCTAGTATATGTACGTGAGTGCGTGCGTGTCTCAGTATCAGTTAAATTAGTTACATGTGCGTGCGTGTATTAGTGTAAGTGTGTACGTGTACGTACCTGCGGTCCGCCACTTGTCAGCGTGTTCGCGGTGCGCGTGCGGTGCGAGCGCGGCGCGTACTCCGCCCAGCACGTCGGCGGCGCCGGCGGCGGCGAGCGCGAGCGGCGTCATGGCGGCGCCGGGCAGCTGGCGCAGCACGCCCACGCGCGAAGACCGCGCCGCCAGCGACATTGATGCTGCCGTCTCCGCGAAACCCTGAAATATTACAAAAATCATAAATATTATATAGAGCAATTTTTTTTATCGTATAGGACATATCAATATCATAGAGCCTCTAGGTCGGTTTTAAATTGAACAATTATGCTTATAAATAACAGTTACAGTATAGTTAAATTAACTTGTAATATCTGGGTTAGTATTGTATTTCCTTTTCTTAGTAGGCAGTAAATGTGAGTACAGTTAGAGCCTTTCGCGGTGTTACACTTTCAGTTACCTTGCAACGAGATAAACTCCGCCCATTTATTCAAGTAACCAATTAAATAACAGCGAGTTCTACGACAGGGTAATAATAAAAGCAAATTAACTTTACCACTGGACATATTTATTATACAGAAATATTTAATTTAATTGAAACGGGGAGTAAATTAAACATAGATTTAGGGAAAAATAAAGAAAATAAATGATTTTCACATTAGTCTATTGTGTAATGAAGAAAAGACTGATGTATAAGTCATCATTATACATTTAAGGGTCAAACGCTGCATATTGGTCAATGTTTTCAAGTAGTCTCAATGTGTCAGAAACAATGTCGAGTGTATTTTAAAGTGGAATTCTGTTAGATTGTCTGTTATTACCTCTCTGACGGTGGTGTAAGCGCTGGCGACGCCCTCGCGTATGTCAGCGGGGCGGCGCGCGGGGTCGCGGCGGCGGCGGCGCGCGCCCCCCGCCAGCGCTAAGGGCGCCGGCGTCAGCATGTCCAGCGCCGTCTCCGCTGTTGCCTGGCACATTATTGTACTTTTAACAGTGGTAAACGCTAACAACGTCTATTACTCCAATGGGCTCGACTTCCAAAATACCATAAAAGACATGCCTAATAAGTAATTTCGCGTAGTGTGATGAGGCCAGCTGGACGCCTAGTTTTAGTAATTTGTCCTTTCCCACCCAACTTAGAGGGAAACCTACTTATTCTTTTTCCCCTTATATATATAATAAACAGTTAACAATCACGAGACAACTTGCATATTTTTGTCAGTATCACACCAGCAGTAAATTGCGCAAACGAATAACAATAAAAAGCAATTACCCACGTACTAATCGACTTTTTTTCGCGCAGTAATCTTTAAAAACTGCCTCCTAATTTTTATTGCTTGGTTTCAATGTGTAGTCACGGAAATCCAGTATACGAGAAAAAATGCCTTGTACATTGCAAGGACACCGCCTCTTCCTACAAATAACTAATTAGATAGCAGTGAATGCAAACGAAGAAATCATAAAAATAAAAGTATCCGTATACCACTAACACATTATTTTTTGATACAGATAAATTGATATGCTGCGTTTTACTGTTTTTGTTCCGTCTTGTTTCAAAATTTAAAAAGTATTGTAACTATCTAGTTGTCACCGACAGATTCCCTGATTGTACAGACTGTAACATAGATGTTGTGACGGCAGTGTGCTGTATGAGGTGCAGTACCTGTATGAGGTGCAGCAGGCGGGTGGTGATGTCGAGCGCGGCGAGCGCGGTGCGCGCGGTGAAGGAGGCGGCGCCGCGGCGCAGGCCGTGCACCAGCCGCCCGTCGCGCCGCCACTGCTCCACCGGCAGCCACACCAGGTCGCGGATGCCGCTTACTGCACCACACAACACACATTATATCACTCTTACATTTATTCAAATATACACCAAATAGATTAAAAAACATTTTTTTTTTCTTTATTTTCCCTTGATATGTTCAATTTACTTTAATTTACTACTCGTATCAATTTAGGGTCTTTTTTTTATTATTTATTTATCAATTTAGGGTATTTAATAAAAATCATGCATCTAAGGGTTAACACTTAAAAGCATGATTTTTTTAAATAAATTAAAAAATGTATACATGTAAACTTTAATGTGTTTTTTTACTAATTGGGAGAAATAGTAAAAAACGAAAATGGTATTTTAAATACTTTAGCGATATGATTCTCTTTGTTTTCCAATTTGAAAATTATCAGTCAACGGAAACATGTAAACAGCCTAATCTTACTAATATTATAAATGCGAAAGTTTAGATGGATGTTTGTTAGAGTTTATAGCCTAGACGGCTGAACAGATTTCGTTAAAATTTGTTATAGATGTAAAGCAGTCTGGAACACATAAGCTACTTTTTTTATTCTACGCAGACGTAGGCACAAGCGAAATCTAGTACAAAAAGTAAATACATATGTATAATGTTTAAATGTACTAACTGAGCTGCAGCAGGGAGTGCATGGGCCCGATGCCGCTGAGCAGGCCGGGCAGCTGGTGCCGCTTGATATCCGACAGCCACTCGTGCAGCGCCCACTGCACCAGCTTCTCCAGTCCCAGGAGACCCAATCTATTAAAACAACACATTTAGAAGTTCCGCCTATATACACCACGCCCATTTTAAAAGAACCAATCACAAGATCGGATCAATCAGTTATATTAATTTGATCTGCAGATCACTTCAGAGTTTATGTGTGGTTCACACTAGGTCAGATTACTCTCTTAGTTACGACTTATATTTCGAGCTGTAACTCACTACGTAACTAACGGTTCGGTGGATTATAATTCAACTGTAAGCTGACAATTTATTTGTTGAGCTGCAACTCAACGGTTCAACTCACTGTTACCTGAGCCTTAAACAAAATGACTTTTGACTATCGCTATCGTTAGAATCGATAAATAGTGTCGAAATGTGACGTATCAACAGTTTTTGTCAGTTCCATATATTTTTTGTCTGTGAAACTGTTGAATAGGTTTAAGGATTTCAACACATATGATACAATGATAAGTTTTAAAATATTGACATCATACTAATATTATAAATGCGAATGTTTAGAATGATAGATGGATGCTTGTTAGAGTTTGTAGCTAAAACGGCTGAACAGATTTCAATAAAATTTGGTATAGACGTAGAGGATAGTCTGGAAGAACGCATAGGCCACTCACTTTTGTTATTTCTCCACGAGGACGGAGTCGCGAGCGACAGCTTGTTAATTGTAAATATTTAAATTTTACTAATATTGTAAATACGAAAGTTTAGATGGATGGATGTTTGTTAGAGTTTGTACCCTAAACAGCTGAAAGGATTTCGGTGAAGTTTGGCATAGATGTAGAAGATAGTCTGGATGAAGACATAGGCTACTCACTTTTTTTTAGTTTCACACGTACGAAGCCGCGGGCGAAAGCTAGTTTACAATAGTAAGTATTACTTGTAATCGAGTCGTTTGAGTGTGAGTTCGGAGCAGTTGAGCTGTCCGAGGCCCATGAGCAGGCCGGCCACGGGGCCCGCGGAGAGGTCCACGCGCTTGCCCACGTAGTCCAGCCGGATAGGCACCTCCGGCGAGAACACCACGCGTCTGCAAACCAATATATATATTTCAAAACAATATTAATAATTATTCAAGTTGTAGTGACGTCATAGTACACAAATCGAAAAAGGCCAAAAACTTGATCCCAATCACAAAGTATAAAATAAATTTGTTTTTAAAATTTTAAACAAATAAAAATGGACATTTTTATATAAAAGGGACTATCTAAATAAATATATCAATAAGCACATATAACATAATTAATATAGATCATACATCCAAAATAAATAGCGAGAAAACATGCCTATAGCATGTCTTAAGTGTAAAGCTTTTCATTAAAAAAAGAATTATTCAAAAATATGCTGTGACTGCTGACATCCTATATAATAAAGAACTGTGCTTTATTATATTACTTACTAATCTTATATTTAACTTCTTACTAATATTATAAATGGGATCTATGCATGGATATATGGATGGATGTTTGTCGCCTGATCGGCTGAATAGATCTCGATGAAATTTGGCATAAATGTACATAGTCTGAAAGTACACAAAAGCTACTAAAAAGGATTTTTTTTTAATTCCGAGCAGACAATGTCACGGGTGAATGCTAGTATAGTTTAACAATTTACCTGAAGTATATAGGTGAGTCATCGAGGGGTTCGTTATCTACTGGCATCCTGGCAGCAGGCTTCTCCTGACCCACGGCCAGCTTCTGGAAGTCCTCCTCCAGCTGGATCAGGTTCTCGGAGACGAGACGCTCTGCTTCATACGTCTCCATTAGTGGCTCGTCGTCACGGAGCACTACGGAAACATATCAGTTTAGTCTACAGTATTGCTATCCCTTTCTATTCGAAAAACATTTCTGATTATTATTTATCTATAATTTTGATTAATTTTGATAAATGTCTTGACTTTAGTGATCAAGGTCCTAGCCCAAAGGGAAAATAAAACAATGTTATTTTTCACCGATTACAAAAAGGAGGAGGTTCTCAATTCGATTGGTATTTTTATGTACATTGAATACTCTTTTATGATCCAATTTAAGTGATCCTTTTTTACAATTTTTTTAAAAAGATTATTTTTAAACAAAAAGCGGAATAGCTACCATTTAGTTCCACTTCATATTTCAAGATTAAAAACTACTCAGTAGTTTTTGAGTTTTAGTTTTACCAAAAGTTGGAAATTACTGTCTTGAAGTAATTTTTTGATATTTCTTTGTTACATCAGTGTAAGTCCACTGTAACATTCCCAGTTGTATCGATTTACCTGTATCGTTGAGTGAGAGTGAGTCCGCGTCGCCTATGGAGGTGGGCGTGGGCGGCGGGTCCCGCAGGTGGCTGGCGATGCTCATGACGGGCGGGCGGTGTGTGGGCGTGGTCTGCCGCGACCCCGCCCCCGCACTCGCTCCGCCCTCTGACGACACGCTCTTGCTGTCCTCGTCTATAGAAAATTATACATTGTATTATATTATAAACACAACGATGAGCTGAAAATGTCGCTTCTGCGATGACAGCTGCAGATTTGATAAAATTACTTTTTGTTGGTTAAACTACAGAATGGATCTTGATGAAATTTAGTTTAAATGTAGAGCATAGTCTGAAAAAATACAAATGCTACTATGTTTTTTTACTTACTCCCCAAAAGAAGGAGGTACTCAAATCGTCTGTAAGTTTTTTTTTTGTAATTCCGATCGGACGGAATCGAGGGCGAAAGCTAGTACCCTACAACTCGCTTTTATGAAAACACTACATTTTATCATTGTCTTTTATCGTTTTATGGCTTATACAAATTAAGACCATCATATTCTTTTAGTCTTGTAGCAAGGATTTGCAAAATTTTTAAAATGCGGAAAGTATTAAAAACAATTAATTTTAGGCCACAGACTCTATTTTCACCCAGTGGATTCCCCTATCTGTATTGCTTACCAGCAGGTTCATCAGAGCCGAGCTTGGAGAAGAAGGAGACGAGGAATGCGAGAGTATCCTGGTCGAGGTTGAATCGCAGCGGCAGCAGCGACACCTTGAGGCAGCACTCCTGCGCGCTCAGCTGCGGCTCGGGACGGAGATGAACAGCTTTCACCACCACCTGCAGGTAAAGGTTATATTATATTGGTTCATATGCCAGTGCTGTTGGACAGTGTTCAAGATCAGCCCCGACAACTAATTTTGTAGAATACCCAGCGCAAGTTTTGTCACAGTACTACTTTACTAGGAGTTAGAGAGAGACAACAATGTTTTTGTAAGATTGTTTCGATAGTAGAATTTCTTAAACCTTAAATGCGTGGTTTTTCCAATCATTTCCAAATTGTCATATTTAATGCAAGATCGGTATTCAACGGCGGATCCAGGGGGGGGGGGAGTCGTAACCCCCCCTCTGAGCTGGTTGGACAAGAGCTTGACAAAACATATACATATTTTGTCAAGTTCTTGACTTGACCACGACTATGTGACTCCCCTAGCGCCAAAGCTGGGTCCGCCCTTGTCGGTATTACAATACAGGAAAAATATTTAAAAAGTTTAGCATCATAATGGATGTTTTTTAATGTTATATTTATACAACAATGGACATTTGAGAGTTAACTTTGTAATAGTCTGAGGATGAAGTAAGTATTGGTATACTAGTTCTTTGTCAGATATATTGATTGATCGAAACATCAGTTGCATAGACAGTTTTAGTTGTAGTATGTAAGAGGTGTGGGTGGAGGGGAGGGGGCGTAAGCATTTTTTTGTGTAAAAATATTAGTAGATTATTGTTAACTTAGTAATGTTTCCTTAAACCATTCTATCTAAGCTCTAGGCTTGTGCTAGAATATGGTTCACGACCATAGTCGAATGCCGGGAAACCCTCGACCGAAGATCGGTAGTCCGTACCCCAAACCATTAGGCTATTACCATGTGTGCGTTGTTCCTGTCGGGCTCGTCCTTGAGCTTGTAGTGCGCGAGCAGCTTGTTGATGTCGCTGCGCACGAGCCGGTCCAGCACCTCCAGCTTGCCCACCGCCAGTGTCTGCCGCGCCGCCTGCGCCGCGCCGCCCGCGTACACCTCGTGCACGAACTTCACCTGCACCACACAACTATTTTAATACATGTTACGTCGAAATCAGGAATATTATCTCCATAAATCCACATAGTGATGGATACATATCCATCCATCCAATATTTATTTAGGTACATGTAAATATCAGATATATAAAATTATATTACATTGGACGGTAACGTTTTTATTATAGCACTAGCTTTCGCCCGCAACTCTATCCGCATCAACTATGTGTTCTTCCAGACTATCTTCTACATCTATACCATATTACATCAGGTATATAGGTCAGGTCACATATAGGTCAGTTCAGCCATTTTGGCTACAAACTCTAACAAAGATCTATCTAAACATTCGCATTTATAATATTAGTATGATTTATCTCTCACAAGCGCATCATTTCACATTCAAATATCGGGATCTCAAACAACCAAATCGCGGTAAGAAAGTCGTGTTATAAGCATAAGTGTGTGGTACCTTAGCGAGTGTCAGTTTGACGCAGGTGGCGTGGTCGCGGGCGCGGCCGCCGCGCGAGCGCAGGTCGCGGTGCGGGGGCGCGGGGGCGGCGCACACGCGCTCCTTGCCCGCCGCCCACCGCACCCCGTGCCGGTACGCCTCCGCCAGCGCGCGCCCGCTCTCGTACGGCTCGTACTCCTTACTCCGTCTTCACATACACAGATATATTCTAAGTCATAAAGTGGCAAACAAGCAAGCGGCCACATGCTTCCGATAAATGGCGAAGCGATCATTGCCCATAGACATCCGCAATAGCGGATGCGTTGCCTGCCCTTACTCCTTACTCGACGCAGGAGGAGACGCCTAAACAGGATATTTTCTCTTCCTATCCTTCTCCTGCACCGTTAAATACACTTTTCCTTCCTATCTTATTCTTATAAAAAAAGGGTGAGAAGGAAAAGGAACTAATATGGGCCTCCGGTACTACACTTATCAGACGAAACGCTCTCTTCTGTGTGGTCGTGGTATTAAACCGGGCTAGCCAACCCATTCGTGTGAAGATGTTAAAGTGAACTCTACCTATGTTATAATATCCGTTAAACTCCGCAATTGCAGATGCGTTGACTTTTAATTGAGGGAGGAATGAGGAGACGCACATAAAATGGACATTTCTCCTTCTTATGCGTCTCCTTCATTGTCAAATCAATTTTCTTTTCCCTTTCCTTATAAATCCTGGCAAATCCCTTATGTAATTTTCAAAGTCAATAATAACTGCCACAACCAATGTCGTATACAGTCGCCAATGCAGTCCCTTGGTATAGTCTTACTTTTAACTACTTTTAAAATTATGTTGAACGCCATCTAATATCACATAAATAATTTCAAAACTTAAAAACAAGTTTGTAGGATGGAAATTCAATTATTTGTATTTACTTGGATATTGTAGGAGAGCCATGTGATCGCTTGTCTTCGATGGTAACGGTCTTTTTGGTGGCAACGTCCCCGGCCGCGGTGAAGTCATTCCCACCATACATGTTCCAAGTTAAACTCATCTCTCGTAGCGTGTACCTAAGAAAAAAAATATACAATTTGGAATCTTAAATATGAAAATATATGAACGCTTTTATTTAAATATACTAGCTATCGCCCGCAACTCCATCCGCGTCATCATTATCAACTTGCCTTTCTTTCTTACGGAATCCGCGTGAAACTAGAAAATTAGATAGCCTATATGTTTATCCAGGCTATCCTCTACATCTACAAACTCTGAAAAACATCCATACATTCCATCCATCTAAACTTTTGCATTTATAATATTAGTAGAATCAAGGATGATTGTATGAACTTCACATAAGTTATGAATTGCGCTATTTTTTCTACGTACAATCGGGGAATCTTGCAGTGTTCTATCTAAAAAGATAGTCGTTTGTCTTTTTGTACACATTAACATAACGTTGCGAAACAATAATCAATAGTAATACAAAAGGTACACTGGTACTCCAGTACAGATTTTATAATCCCATTGTTTGCGCAAGTCACTGTTATTAGATTTTTTAATAGTACCACCGCGTATTTCCGCGACTGTACCTTAAGCATAGTTTGAATTCCATATTTATTGCTTACCGTAACACCGGCATCGGGAAACTCTTAGGTGCTTTAAGCACGTCAGTCCTGGCCGCGGGTACAGTGAAGTGGTTGTCTATCATATAGACTGGCCCGGGGCAAAGCCAGCGCACCACTGGCTCGTCCATCTCATTGTCTTGTCCGCACCCGCCGTTGTCCACGATACAGTATTCGTCATCTGTGTTACTGCCGTCTCCGACTGATTTGATCTAATTTAAAAGTAAAAAGAGTTATTCAGCGTCGTACAAAAGAGGGCGCTGTATTAAAAAATAATTGTTAATGTATGGAATTCATAAATCATGACAAGCTCAATTAGATATCTCATATATTTATTTTTAGATAATGTAAGTAATTTCTAAAAAAAAAAAACTATATATAAACAACTAGCTATTGCTCGCGACTTCAAACGAGTAAATTAAAAAAAATGTATCGCCTATGTTACTTACAGACAAATTATCTTTCTATCGGTGAAAGATTTTTTAAAATCGGCCTAGTAATTTTTGAGTTATTTTAATACATAAAATACAATTCTTTTCTCTTTATAATATTACTACTAAAGAAACGACTAATAAGGGTAGTCTAAAACTCTAAATATCAGAGAGTGTGGGGTTTAAAAGTAGTTAAAAACATCTTTACATCGACTATCCATATGTTTATTCATAAATACTTACCTTTTTACGTTTAGGTTTCTTAGGAGTATTTTTAGGTGTTGATGTATCCGTGACGTCTTTAGTAGATTGTAATAAAGGAGGTTTTGTGTCTAAAACTTCTTCGGCTGGTAAATTGTCATCCTCTAGCGATTTCGGTTCAGTATCCAAATTGATAGCTTCAGATGATGGCTGTTTTAGTTTCATATTAGACTCGTCAGGGAAAAAGAATATTTCAACACCCTCTTTTTCAGTCGAACTGTTTAATTCGTTTTCATCAACTAAAATGTCAAAAAAATATTAAGCTTTATAACAAACCGATAAAAATTTTACTCCTCTAAGAATATTATATATTAAACATACTTGTATTATTTGGACTTTCTTTCATCGCTTCGGCCATGAGATCATTGACTTGTTGAATTTCACTAGGTGATAACTCCCTTATTTCTTCTATGGGTCGATCGTCAAGACCTGGAAAAGAAAAAACAAGTAATACAATCGTTACTGGCCAGTATTTATAGCCAGTTAAATGGTTTTGATAAAATGTGAATAATTTAATTTTAGAAAATAAAGGTCTGAATTATAGATGGCGTTGTTATCAACATATTTTGTATCTTAAGTTTTTCCGTATGTTAGCATTCCTCTCACATTTGTGAAGGTATCTTACCGACGAGTGTGTCCAGGGGTGGGTCTGAGCAGAGACTGTGACGGGGCGAGGGTTGTGGCGCGGGGGCGGCTGCGGGGGGTCGCGTGTCCCCATCCGCCGCCGCGTACGTCAGTAACCGGCACAACGCTGATGCGGAGTCCCAGCAGGTATGCACGCTTACCTGGTTGTTGCTCGCTGTCACCTCCACTTGGGGCTGTTCACCTGACTAAAATGTACTATCGTTAAGTCACTCTTAGTACACTAAGTAGTAGAAACCTCCGAGTTTCTCAAACTAATGCGTAGTCACATTTTTCCAGTACAGTTGGACACAAACACTCTATAATGCTGGCATAACGTGAACACATAACAGGTGCTGGTAAAACCATTCGAATTATGCCTGTCCTGCGTTGCTTTCCGACTGTACTGGTCAAGTGTGAACCAGGAATTACTGCACCAAGGCCAGTATCAATCGTCAGTTATTTCTACTAATATTATATAGAGGAACTATTTGCATTTCTGTGCATGAATACCAAAAACTACTTGATCGATTTCAAAAATTATTTTGTAATCAGAAAGCTACACTATTGAGTGTATTTTTTTTAATTCAACGCGGACGAAGTAAGAGTAAAAGCTAGTACAATGTAAATAGACAACAAACTAACATTGAGTTAGAACATACAAACTGAGAAGAATTACAAATAATCTATGTACATGTGTTTGCAGCCGTGTAAACACACACTAAAGTTGTATTAGGCGAGGTCCTATACTTACACTGTTAGCCTTGTCTTCAGTTCTTAACGCTAACTCGAACAGTCCCACATCAATGACACACACGTAGTCCCTCTGTATTTCGGGAGGTTTCTCATCATCTTGAGGGACCTGGTCGTTCGTTCTAGCACCAGTATGCGAGAGGAACAGCGTGCACTCCTGCGCCAGGAACCGTAAGCATGACGTATTCGTCTCCGGAATAAGATTGCTTGATACACTAAAGTTGCCCAGAGTTAGGATTGTTCGTATCGGCAAGTATAATGGTCTGGAAGAAATGAACGGGTTAAGAATTATTTTAAGACTTTGAGTACCACAATAAGATTTAACTTAAGTGGATTTTTAACATTACTAAGCCTGTCCCACCACTTGCTGATAGAGGCTCAGATAGCTTAAAAATGACGTCACTGTCAGAAGGGAACAAAATCCGTTATTTCTATCACATATATTACACTTTGGATTGTTACCAGACAATTTACAATATGGTGGGACAGGCCTTAACTCTAAGGATGGGACTTATGGAAAAGGTTGGGAGGTCAATACCCAGAAAGGGCTCCAGATACTGGCATAAAAAGGCTAAAATGAAATAAATAAAACGGTAGTACAAAAGCTTAACAGTAATAACCACGCACTTAAAGACTTATGGAAGTAATTTCGTGTACAAGATGATTGAGTGTTCATGCCTTCACACTCTTTTTTTTTAAAACACAACAACGGGACGTGGTATTAAATGATTAGACGCAAAAGGGACATTTCTTCTTTTTATATATCCCCTTCTCTCCCGATTAAAGCGATCGCTTCTTTATTACAACGGATTCAGATGACAAGGTCATTTGTCATCTTTTACTGTAAAAATTTAAGAACCCTCTATATACGGCCACTTATCTTAAGAACATCCTATATACGGCCACTTATCTTAAGAACACCCTATACTTTAAGGACTCTAACACTACCTGTAATCTATAGCGCAGTCCCATACGTGTACATGTAACTCTGAGAGTACGGTAGAGGGCGTGTACCCGGGTACAGGGTAGTCGAGCACGTCCAGCACGTCCAGCAGCTGGCTCAGCCACGCAATGCCCTTGTCGCCGCGGTGGCGCAGCGTCGCCTGCTCTATGCCTATCGCTATGCAGATCGTCTGGAAATGGTTGGCAGTTATACCTAAACTGGTCTATAAACCAGGTTTTAAAGAACTGGAGAGGGTTTAATTACTGGAGGGATAAGAAGTATAGTGGAGGGTTTAAAGTTGAAAATGCAGACACAGAGTCCACTAAAGCCAGTATCATTTTGAAAAGGACGAGACAAAAGTTTAGGAACATTAAAATAAAAATTCAAATTCTATGGTTATATAGCAATTAGCTGCGTTCTTACAAATGATAAAATAACATCAATAAACTTAAACAATACTTGAAAAGTTAAAAACCGTTGTACATTTTACTTGAGGATAATCTTACTAGGCACACTAATATTAAAAATGTAAAGGTTTATATTCATAGAGGTTTGTTAGAGTTTGTAGCATAAACCGGTGAACGGATCTCGATGAAATTTGGCACAAACAGAACATAATATGGAAGAATACATAGGCTACTTACTAACTTTTATTTAAATACCGCACGAACGAAGTCACTTGCAAAATCTAGTCTAATTGTATATAAAACTTACTTTTAAATTGGGAGTCTCGCTGTCAGGATCAGTTTTTAACGCGAGAGAGAACATGTCTTTTGGTTGGAGACGATCTTTGATGATAATTCCGTTGTTGGAAGGATATATCGTGGTCTTTAAATGTAATGGTAGAGATGTCCCGTAAAGACGCAGTGGAGGCTTCTCTGATGGTATTGAGAGGAGAGCTGGAAATCAAATGCCATAACAGTTTCTATTAGAATTTCGTATTAAAGTTTTATAAGTTGAGGATATATAACTATAGTTAAGCCGTTTTTAATTCGATTTTGAAGTCTACCGAAAGTATATAAAGTCAGTAAAAGTATTTATTAATTTTCAGTAGATACGCCTACTTCCTAAAGTGAGTAGAAGTTACTAATTTTTATTTAGGGATAATTTTATAGATTGCTACATTAAGTTTTAATATTTACAGTGAATACAAAACTCTTTATTGTGTCGCTTAAATCGGCATCTTTAATGTATGAAAATAATTTAGTTCCACATTTTTCCGCAAGGTTTACATAGTAAAGTTGTACACATAGTGCTGTCTCTTTCTGTCAAAGGCAATGAGAAGGACAGCAACAAAGAACGTTTAGTACATTTGATTAGATAACTTACGTTCATGATATAATGTGACTTTTCCCGAACGAAGACATAATTGTGCGGTCTTCGCTCGTCCATTGAGACCACTCAGTTGGCACATGCTCAGTCTATGAGCTTCTAGCACTAATTCACCCATTTGTCCGGGGACCACGCGCTTGTTGGCATCCTGTTAAATTATAAATGATATTAGCTTTCCCCTGCGACTCCGTCTGCGTGGAATTAAAAAAAAGTGGCCCATGTGTTCTTCCAGACTATATCCTACATCTATGCCAAATTTCATCCAGATACGTTCAGCCGTTTACGCTACAAAGTCTAACAAACATCTAAACTTTCGCATTTATAATATTAGTATGATTATAAATGGGAATGTTTGGATGTATGGATATTAATACGTATCTCTATAATGGATTTACATTTATTATAGATATAGAACATGGTCTGGAAGAACATATAGACTACTTCTTTAATTCCACGCGGACAGTCGGGGGCGAGAGTTAGTTCATATATGAAAATACAAATATTCTTGGCTTTTCATAACGATTATTAAGTTTAAATTACAACATTTTATTACAACAGCAGCTTTAAAATATAGTTTCAGTGATAGAATAAGGTAATTCTAAAATTGAAGTCTATGAATTCAGTGGATAAGTTGAGTTAAGATTTCATATTACAAAAAAAATAACAAACAATAAATTACAAATAACAATAAAATAAACTAATCCTTTATTTATATAGAAGAGTACGAAGTACTTACTCTGACAGGTGCGAAGATAGTCATAAGACCTTTGCCAACTTTAAGAGTGAGACAAAAGTTGTGCTTCTCACTCTCTTTGCTTTCGGGTAATTGTCGAGAATTTCCGATTCCCTTTTTTAATTTGTTATCATACGTTGAATAATATAGATTCTCCTCTTCTGATGATGAACTTTCAGTATCTGAATCTAAAATTTACAAAACTAATTAACACAACTTTAAGTAAATTTGAATATTTACTTATATTTCACAATTAGTTGACATCCTACATAAAAAAGAGGTGTGTGTTTACGCTTTATTATATCTATTATATTATAAAGAGGAAACATTTGTATTTTTGTATGTATTATAATAACTCAAAAACTACTGGGCCAGTTTTAAAAATTCTTTCACCGTCGCAAAGTTATTTTATCTGTGAAAAACATAGGCTTTTTTTTTTTAATTTCACGCGGCAGAAGTCGCGAGCAACAGCTAGTTATATCTATATCTATCTATCTATACATATAATAAAATTTGAATTTCTGTTTGTAATATCAAAAGAAAAATTCCAGATTTCGGGAAGATGATGTATTTGCGTTGCAGATCACGAAAATTGTATTTTAAGAATGTTTGTCTATCTGTCCGCAAGCCGCGTTTGTTCTGGGTAATCTCCGAAACGGCTGGGCCGATTAAAACCGAACGATCACTGGAGGGAGACAGAGACGGGCATATTATAGGCTACTTATTTTTAAATCCGCGCTGTCAAAATGGCGACCGGTTCGCTATCTCTGGAATGGGTGGACCGATTTGTACGGGACTCTGACTGTAAGAAAGCTGGTAGAAGGTAGATGTACGCGGGAATGTGATAGATGACTTTTTTTTTTTTAAAAAAAATCCGCGCTAACCAAGTTTACGGGCGACAGCTCGTAAATAAATATCCTATATAAATAAAACATATTTTTACCGTAAGTTCCTTTGCAGATACCAAATGCGGGGTAAATGCCACCAATGTGCGGACTGATCTCGTACTGCTCCGCGGCGTGCGGCTCCCACAGTAGCAAATCAGAGTTTATACGGTTGTAGATTATCTCGTACAACTGTTTTGATCTGTAAAGATAATTTTATCTTAGCTTTCTCCGTCAGTATGGAATTTAAAAAAAGTAAGTAGTCTATGTCTTCCTCCAGATTGTCCTCTACGTCTATGCCAAATTTTATTGTGATCCGTTCAGCAGTTTAGGCTACAAACTCTAACAAACATCCATCTAAACTTTCGCATTTATAATAATAGTAAGATTATACTATAATTTTGGATGGATGTTTGTTTCCTAACGTCTCAATGGATCCCAACGAAGTCAAACATAAAGAATATACTCTGGAAGAACATAGACTATTCACTTGATCTAAGTTATGTCAATCAAAATCTTAAATATCAAAATCTTTGAAATACTGTAAAAAATTACATATCATACTTTCTGTTCTGTGTTTTATGTTCTAAGGCAATTAAAAATAAATGGAATAGACTATATAATCTATACTATTTTAATAAAACGTAAACACACACTTCTTTGTTCCCTAAGATGTCACCAATTACAGCATATTTTTAAATAATTCTTTTTTAATAAAAAGCCCTACACTTACGTAACGCTTTAGAATTACTATATAATTTTTATCATAAAATGTGAAATGTTGGTGTGTGTAAGTTTAGATCTTTATTTATTTATTTAAAATCGTATCTTAAAAGAGCAAAATACTTACTCTAATTGCAGGCTGAGTATCGGCAGGTTGAAATCAAGATGTATGTAAGAATTCTCCACAGAACTGTTCGTGAACTCCGCCATTTCCTCATCAGTACCGGGCACTATCAGATCTTCTTCATGGGCTAAAAATAAACAAAAAAGTAGAAGTTATTTGACAATACTGTAAACAAGGTAATTTTCAAATAGTCTGAAATGTATGAAAAAATCATATTTTTTTCTTATTCTCGTCGAATTCAATCATTTTGAACATGAAGTGAACAATTTCCAAAGACAATGGAATGGACAAATTGAATTATATTTTGTACGATAATGTCTGTTTATTTAATAAGTCTGTGATTACAGGTTTATAAAGTTGTCTAGACAGGTTTTTTTTTCCAAATGTTAGTGTCAAATTCATTTCGATTTCATGTACATTTTTAAGGTCACTGGCTGATAGAGGCTCAGAAAACTTAAAAATGACATCACTGTCAGATAAGGTAACAAATTTCGATATTTCCATCACAAATTTTACATGTTCGATTATTATTATCGGTTGTACAGGCCCTTAGTCTTTTAAATCTATATGTTTAACATTTCGTTTGTTTATATTTTGATATAGAGATTACATACCTTGTTGATTATTTTCTTGTTTGGTAATACTTTGATGGGCGGTCTTTTTACCACTAAAAGGACTTGGTGAGGAACTCCTCAAGTTGTTCATAATGTACATGGAAGTTGTCATTGGATTAGGTGGTTTTGGTTCGAAATTCATTTCCTCGTGTAACGAATCGAATGGACCTCTGTTCGATTCCCGTGGCAGGAATGTAAGAGATATCCTAAAAGTGTTATTCTTTGAGTTAAAATAACTTTGATATCGTACAAAATACTATAAAATGACTTATCGTACTATTTTAGTAATATAATAACTGCGAAAGTTGAAATGGATGGATGGAGCATGGATGTTTGTTAGAGTTTGTAGCCTTAACTACTGAACGGATCTCGATGATATTTGGCATAGATGTAGATGATAGTATCAAAGAACACAGACTACTTGCTTTAGTCTTTTTTTTTTTTTTTTAATTTCACGCCGACGGAGTCGAGAGCTAAAGTTGATAGCACATAAATTATTTTTATAAATTAATTTCATAAATGTTTTAGACTTTAAAAATTGCGTTAAGATTTTAAATAAAAGGTTTTAACTTACATCGGTAATGGTGTAGTTGTATTGCCTTTAAGGATGTTTCCTTCAAACGACGCGGCGTCCATTGTCGACTGAGCCACGTGTGTGGGTGGTAAATGATCGTTTTCCTGTAATAAGAACAATACGATGCTTTAAAAATGTTTTTGTGCAAAAAAGAATTGGTCATGATGTGGCTACTTTTATATAGCTTTCGCCCACGACTCCGTCCGTGTAAAATTAAAAAGTAATATAAAATATAGCCTATATTACACACTGACAACGTAGCTTTTTAACGGTGAAAGAACTTTTGAAATCCGCTTAGTAGTTTTTGAGTTATTTCATTGCAATCAAACAAACAAAGTTTTCCTTTTTATAATATTAGTATAGAAAGGCAAACGAGCAACAGATCGCCTAATGTTAATTGACCCAACGCCCATGAACGTACACAACGCCAAGGGAACTGCAAACGCTGCAGGCCTTTAAGGGATTAGGTTAATTATTTTTATAATCCCATAATTTGCGAAACTTTAAGACTTATACAAAACTGTTAAAAAATAACAATTTTTATGTAGGAAAATGATCGAGAGATTTGTTTCTACACTAGGCACAAGACCCGTCCTTTAGAAACTTCCTCTTTTCTTATAGAGTAATTTTTAAAACTAGCCCTTGACCACGAACTCACCTGATGTTGCAATCGAAAGATGGTGCTCTAGCACTATTAGGAGACAGGACAGTTTGTCGTTGAAAGTCAACTCTATAAATAGAACACCGCGTATTACCGTGATAGTACTTACACAATAGTATAGTTGTATGGTGGTGGCTTTCAGTGTAAGTGTGGTAGGCAGTGGCCGTACACTGGCTGCCTGCACCCAGCCTGCTGCCGCCGCCTGCAGCTGCAGCATCAGGTAGTCTGCTCGCACACGACGTGCTTCATGGTTCACACTACTACGGAGATCCGCTATAGGGAACCTGTCACGTGTTAGAAATAATAAAAAAATCCGTGTAAACGCAGCCTTAAGAACAAGAGAACATGTAAAATTTAGTTCAAATATATTAATGGAATTGGAGGTGCGATGGCTAGGCATGGATTGTAGGTGCCTCTCTCATTGGCGCCAGTTAGTGTTCACACTATGCCAGTAACTGTACTGACTAATAGTGAACCGGGCATAATACTCATACTGGATATACATGGATTAAAATTTGTAAAATTAATACTGTATGGATTCCATGTGGGGTTCTTTTTACCTGGACTCCAGTAATAACAATTTACTTTGAGTTGTTTAATGGAACATACTTTGTATGGTCCAGCGAATGTACAGTCGCGGCAATGCACGGTGTTTCACTTACATAAAAATTGGCTTGAACACCCATTTTTACCTAACCAATTAAGTAGCAATGAGTTGAGCTATTAACTTACTGACTATTTTTCGTATGGACACATTTAAAGGCTGCGTTGTGTTTTTTAGTTCCGCGTTTCATTTCTAAATGTTCAACAGATTGTCGCTTTTAATGTAACACCGCCAATTTCCCCGACTGTACATAGTTATTATTTTTGAATGTATAAATATTTACCTGAGTATAACATTAAGTTGTGGGCAATGCAGTGCGAAGTTAATATGGTTCTGTGGTTGCGAGGCGCGGGCGTTACTCGAGGTGAAGGTGGCCGACATCCGGTCTATCAATGTTAACTCCACATCCACGAAGAAAGGACTGCATTTCATTCTGTAAATAAATATCAAGTAAGTCAAAATTCGTGCTTTATAATGTTCGTAAGATACGGGTCTTACCACTTTAATTGTTTTAGCTACTGATATTTCGGAACATACGGAAGTGATAGTGTGAAAAAATAGGGAGCTAAAACAATTCAATTGTGATAAGAATCCCGTATCTTACGAACGTTTTATTTGTAAAAATCGTGACAGTTTAAAGTTATATTTCGTGCTTTATGTCAGTATATAAAATAATTTTTACCCATTCAATTGGATTTATTAAGTTTTTTTTTAATTTGCAGTTTTTGTCTACCAATTTAATACTGCAAAACTCTATTTATGGATTATATCATACCCTCTATAGTCTAATGTAATTAATGGGTTTTCGTTAGAAAATAGTTATGTTATACTGCAAGTTAATTCGATAGAGTACTTACACAATATCCGTGGTAGGTGAGACGAGTTTCTTCTCGCCCGATATTCTCATATACTTAGATGTTTGTTTGAAATTAATTTTTATATTGGGCGTCTGTACGTTATTACTAAGATCGGGATCATCTGGAAATACGAAAAAACTTACTAATATTATAAATGCGAAAGTTTGGGTGTATGGATGTTTGTTAGTTTGTAGCCTAAACTGCTGAATGGATCTAGATTAAATTTATCATATCTATACTAATATTATAAAGAATAAAGCTTTGTTTGTTTGATGAATATGCTCAAAAACTACTGGTCCGTTTTCAAAAAAAATTACATTATAAATATATACATACATATATACATTAAAAAGTTACGTTATCGGTAACATAGCCTACATTTTTATTGTTTTTTAAAGCTAGTGTAGAATATAGTCAGGAAGTTTCGCAAGGGCGATATCGCGGGGTAAAGCTAGTAATAATATAAATAAATAAAGTATCAATCAGTTATCTATCTATTTACCTTTATTTTCAAATTTGATTAAATCATAACTTTGAGGTTTGTCGTCTTGTGATTGGTCGTAAAGACATTCTCTTACTAGAAAGTTCTTGATGGCGGCTTCACAGAGCGTCTGACTGCCGTGTGACGTCACCTTCTCACTGCCATCTAAACTCATCTCTGTTGTTAATATCCTGAAAAAAGGCGTTTTTCCTTTTTTTTTTAAACTCTACTAGTTTTCTATTGGAATTGTCTCTATATCAAGTCTAAAAACTGTTTTTGTTTAAAGAAAAATACTTTTTAAAAAATCTCTAAAAAAATTTATGGCAATTAAAACAATACCTTGGAAACTTCTTAAATTAAAAAAAATCAACGTTTTTTTTATTCAGTTACCTTAAATGATTTCTTTTAGTAGCTTTATCTAATGCATCATTAACTTTATGGTTCTCTCTGCGGTCGTCACTTCGACAGAACAATTCGACGTTGTCAAAGAACTCTCTAGAAGCTTCATGCATTTTGACAATGGATGCGGGAGATATGTAATCCGTACCCATTGGAGTTCCCACTAATATATCCTAAAAAAAATATTGCTATATTGCTATAAGTACAAAAATAACAATAGAATCTATAGTAATATTATAAAGAGAAATGATTTGAATTTTTGATTTTTGTATTTATTAAAAGAACTCAAAAAATACTGGGCCTATTTCAAAAATTCTCCCACCATTATAAACCAAAGTTTACAGTGAGTATCATAGGTTTTTTTTCATGTGGACGAAGTGGCGAGCAACTGCTAGACAGTAGTAAAAAAACATACTTTTTTAAGGAACAATACACAAGGACCACAATAATTACCATATCTAGTTTTTTTTATCATAAGTAGAGTAAAATTGGCATTATTATTTAAGATGTATTATATTTTATGGCTATAAGAAATATAAATACTTTACCTTGTGTAGTAATACGCAAGAAAATGAAGCCATTCTAAGGCTAACGTGCGAGACCTCTGCTGTTGGATCTCCGTCTATATGCGGAACTGAAATATACACAATGCTTTTTAAATAAACGATATATACATATATTAAAATTGGAATAAGTGTAATATTTATTCAAAACTATAATTAAAATTTTTGTCTGTCTGTCAATCCGCAAAATGCGTTTGTTGCAGGTAATCTATTAGGCTAGGATACTTTTTTTATTCCGCACTGACGATGTCGCAGGCAACTGGTAGTCTAAAATAAATTCATGAGATATTCCTAATTTTTTAAGTAATTTTTTTTGTCAACAGATGGCGCTGTAACTAATTGATTTAAATACCATACAAAATATGGAAAACATTTAATTATACCTCTCTTATTCCTCTTGATCCTCGGCTGTGCAGTCGGCATGTTGACACTTGACGTCATACTGGCGCTCATAGAGCTCACAGAGGATGTGAAACTTTCAGTCATTTGGTTGGTGGTCATCGGGTGGAACTTCTCACTTTCTGCATCACTGTCTTCTAAAACATTGTTTTAAAGCTTTAGCTATAGCCAACGATTATTCAAATACATTATTTTCTAAACCAATACAGTTGGAAGCAAATTTAATTTCATGCATGGATCAGGGTATATTTTGTATTTTCATTAACAAAAATATAATTTACTGGCTTTCAACCATAAAAAACAAATGTGTTTTTCGATACTATCCTCTACATCTATACAAAATTACATTGAAATCCATTAAGCTGTTTAGCATACAAACTCTATCAAACATCCATCCATCCAAACTTTTGCATTCACAATATGAAATTAAGAAGTAAGATATAAATAAAAAATATATGGAGCAATAATAATTACCAAAACTAGGACCGGACCAGCCATACATATGTTGTGGTTTACTCTGCCGTTCCAAGTTTCCTTGCAGTTGAGCTTCTATCAGTTGGAAGTCGGCCTGCTTCATTGGTTTGCATTGCATATTCACACCACTTTGCCGGAGAGGTAAGTTGCTAGAATATTACAATTTACATCTATACTAATATTATAAATAGGAACAATTTGTATTTTTGTATATATTGGAATAACTCAAAAACTACTGGATTGATTTCTAAAATTCTTTTAACATTAAAAATCTACATTATCACTGAGAATCTATATCAGGTTATATATATTTCTTTACGTTACCCAGACGATGTCGCGAACAACAACTGGTATAAAATAAGTTACTCCTAGACTAACATACTTTGTAGATCTGTAATTCCATCTAATAGTAGAGGTTCAGTAACAGAATGTTTTAGGATCTTTCTAGGCTTGAATTTCAATTCATATAGAGAAAGGGATGGCAATACCTAGTACTAAATACACATGTTAAGATAATAGGAACTCTCATAAATGTTACCATGGAAAATGATATTTAACATAATATATTCAAGTAACTATTTTACCTTGTATCTTCCAAATCAGGTTGATTTAAAGCATCAACAAGTTCAAACAGTGTATGCAACTGTCGAGGAGTCAAATACACTATGAGCGATCCTAACAACATTTTCACTTCAACTTTAGGACCCTCAACTTCTTCGGAATACTTCAATTTGAGTGCCAATTCCTGTTGTCCCGTTAACTTAGCAAACACTATTGGTTCAGGTTGTTTAGCTTTTTCCTCAGGAGTTGGTTCTCTTGATCCACTTTGAGTATCTTCACCGATTATTTCTTTGACTGGATCTGGTTCGATTGTTGATATAACACTTCTTGTTTCATAAAATACATCGGAAATGGTACTTTGGTAGTTAACATCTGGTGTCTCCGCGGCCTCAGATTTATCCGCTTGGGATGAGACAGATTTCTCCATAGTAAGATTTCTTGCCATGGTCCTAAGTTTTGATGGGAACTCATCCACGTATAATGTGACTCCGTTGAATTTTATCTTCTTGTTTGTGTATGTTGAAACTATGTATGTTTTTGATTGGCCAGGATCGGTTGTTTCTGGAACCGGTTCTGTACCGGCCTCGTCGAAGTAATCAATGCTGTAAAATAATTATATATTACAAGCTTTCGCCGTTTTTTTTTTCAATTCCAAGACTCTGTCTGCGTGGAATTGAAAAAAAAAAACAAAAGTGAGTAGCCTATGTGTTTTTTCAGACTAACCTCTACATGAATGCCAAATTTTTTGACTCATTTAGTTTAACACAACTTTAAAGAACATCCATCCATCCATACATCTTAACTTTCTCATTTATAATATTAGTAAGAAATAACATGAGATTTACAATGAAAAATATGGGATATAACACTTGTGATGATGTGATTAACATTTTGCAAGGATCTAATTAACACTAATTACTTGTAATGTAACAATTACACTAAACATAAACATTTAAATAACATGTATATAGGAAACTTACTTTTGTATGTGAATTTCCAAAGCGATCCCTTTGACACCATTTTTGGGCACATGTTCAATTCTTATTTTTGTATTAACAAATTTAACCTTCACTCTGCTTAAAACTGAAAAAATAGACAAAACCAATTAAATATAGTAAAACAATATAGAATTTCCTCATATTGTATTTGATATTTCATTAAGTTGAAATAAAAAATTCAAGTCACTCAACAAATGTTGATAAAACACCAAGGATACTAACAAAAATTATCATTTTAATATTTCTTGTTTGAACTATGATTTTATTGTTTTACATACTAGGCTGCTGGGTTCAGCCAATATTATACATACCGGAGTCAATAGCATGTGCAAACATTTCAATCCCCTCCACCGGGTTGGATTCCTGTGGTCCCGCTTCTTCCCGGAGACATTCCGCAGCAAGTTGCATTGATGATGACATGGATGACCACATTGATTCCAACATGGACGACACTACAGAAGGAAATATATACGACGGTTTTAATTTTTTTTTATTGGTGTTACAATATTACAACTGATTTTTATTAACATATTAAGAAATGTGTGATTTTCGATGTATTACAGTCCGAAACTACAGAGTAATCAAAGGTCGACAATAATATATAATAAATATTTTACTTAGTGATGGCTAATGTATTTATGTTAATAATTAACCCTTAAATGCATGATGATGCATTCATACATAAGTCTTCTCTACCACTATAGATTATTTAAAAAAAAAAATCTTAATTCTTCCCTTGATTTCAATTCAATTTACTACTTGTTTCAATTTAGGATATTTGAAAAAATCTTGCATTTAAGGGTTAACAATGCGCTATCGATTTATTTATTTATTTGTTTTTGGAAGTTTCTTTGTGGTCTGTGGGGCAGGGTGCCTTCTAATCCATCACACAGTGTATCACGCTAGTTTGGACACCAGTCCCCTGCCCAAGAGAAAATCAATAAAGCTATTTTACTTATATTTATATTTACCTGGTTCAGCTCGGACTTTAGGTTGTACTGTAAGTGACAATCCATTGACTTCAACAATAGAATCATCTTTTAATAATGTCGACCAGGGTATAGTCACTGTAATTTCTTGCATCTGACCATCCACGATTTCCAGCGGCCAATTTTGTGAGTCACCCAGTTCATTGAGTGCCTGAAAATTAATAGAAAATGGTGTATAATTATTTAAAATATCTTTTATGTACTATTATAAAATTTGATTTTGTATAATAAGTAAAACCTTACATTATTCAGAGTTTGGTTGCTTTGATTAGAACTTACTAATGTTACTATTATTATAAATGCAAGAATTTAGGAGGAATGAATGGAGGGATGTTTGTTAGAGTTTGTAGCCTACAAACTGTTGGATAGATCTCAATGAAGTTTAGCATAGACATAGAGGATAGTCTAAAAGAACACATAGGATACTCATTTTTGTTTAATTTAATTCCATGTGGATAGTGTCTAGGGCAGAATCTAGTTTTTATATAAAAAAAGGGTAAGCAACACATATGCAATTGCAGATGTCTATGCGCAGCGGTCGCTTCGCCAGATTCGTGTGGCCGGGTGCTCATTTACTACCTTATGTTATACAAAAAAAAATAATAATACATCTGGCCATTGGAGAACACAAAGCAAGAAATTTTCCTCATTTTATAAATTTAATTTATGCAGGTACAGTAACAACCGTCTTCAAACTCATTTAGCCAAGATGGCTGCAGCTAAATTGATTCAATACAGGTTTCTTTTATGTACCTAACTTACAATCATAAATATGAAACCTGTTTACAAGGGCCTTGCAATGGGACTTCAACAAAATTATATAAAATCAAAAAAGACACTCCATTGCGTACAAATATATGTTTTTCTATCCTCAATTTGTTCATAAACTAAATCAAGCAAATCAGCATAGGCGTCAATCACGTACGATAAACATTTTATATAAACAGGTTTTAAATAACTAAAAATAAAATAATTGATTGCAAGTCAATGCTATGTGTGAAATAATTTTCAATTTTTGTAATAGACTGTGAGTGATAGGTTCTAGTAATAGCATTTTCTGATATATAAAGATTTCTTTGTCTAAAAGGGCAAAGTTAACACGTGTTTAAAAAAATATTGCGCACTTAAATTTGGCATACAAGGGACGTGTTGATATAATTGTCAATAACAAAGTTATAGAGTCTAGCTGATAAGTGATTTATAGATATAAAAAAAAAAACTAATTTACCTCGCAGTCAAGGCTGACATCGCATACCGTTCCTGTTCCATTGTATAGGTCCACACTCAGCTGATCTAAAGTGAGTTTTTCTTCAAGGAAATTTCCAAGGTAGCGTTGTAATAGATATCTGCAAGCCCTCTTCTTGATACTTTCAGACCATGGCAGATACCACAACATTTTAAATTATTTTAAAGATCATTACACTAAAAATTTATACTTTTGTGCGTAATGACTATTGTGATTTGATTTGCGTGTGATTGACTTTTGCACGTAAATAAACATAACGTTCCGTTTCATGTGCGTGAAATCGATACTTCAAAAGAATATACAGATAAAAAATAAGCAACGTTTGAAATACCTTTTAAATTATTTTTTCAGTTGGATGTTTAATGTAAAAAATATTAATTATTATTACTTACAATTGTTTAATAGAATTAGATGTTTCAGTTTTACAAAATAACTTTGAATCATTGTAGTGGGCTTTCATATAAGTATGGAGAAAATGAACTTCTTTCATCAAGTGATTAGATTGGATTTCTTTGGTCATCAATCGACAACATAAAGTAAACGGATCAGGCAATTTAGGGTTGGGGAGTAGCGTCGCTACTATCGATACAAGACCAATAGAGCTTATAGGCCGTACATGTTATACGCCGTAATTTCCATAATAATAGACGCAACCCCCATAGTACATCCATTATTAATACGAATAGAACAACACACAAGAAATGTGTTGATCTATTAGACGCCTTACGACGTGTGTGTTCGTATACTAAACATGGTTTGTTTTGCTTCATGTATAACAATGGATTGTATCAATAAACTACTTCATAGAGTAATTTAATCCTTAGACTGAAAATAACCTAAACTTACCTAGCTTGTGGTTCAATTTTAAAATGAACCATACTTTATTCGAATGTTCGCATCGTTGTTTTATGTTTTGCTTGGTTTTTGCAGTTTTATTTGATTATTCAAATCAGTTTGTTTTTTTGAGAACCATAGAAGCAGTTGGATTTCCATACTATAAGTTGTTAATGAGTCTAGGCGATTGTAAGGGTAACAAATATGTTTATAAATATTATTTATATAGAGTTGGATTGTTTGTTAATTTTACTAAACTTTTTGTTAACTTTTGTAGAATATATTTTGTATTTTGAAAGAAAAGTGTGGTCGCCACTTCGTTTAAATAGGGTTTTTGATATTTACTACAAGAGTTATGATTGTAAGTATATTAAGATTTCTACTTTAGACAATTTAAAACACAAAGGAATAGATAATCTTTTTACTATAAAAATTCTTCCCTAATTTCTTGTTCGCATTATTTCGTGTAAGAAATAATGACCTGTAATTTAAAAAAAAAAACTCTAACCTGACGTTCAGACACCCATCGCTACAAATGGACAGGATGTACAGCATGGTATCTTATGCTTATTCCATTTTCGCCATTTTGGCGCTGCCTGTCGATGTTGGTTCCAGAGGTTATATCCGAATTAATAATAGAGATGGAAAGCAAAAGTTATTTCCAAGCAACAGCCTATTCATTTATAGAGATCAGTGCGTATAGTGCAGGCGTATACCAGGCACAGTTGTAAAATTAAGAGAACTATTATTTTTCAGCCGATATCACAGTGTCTCGAGTAGAACTAAGGGTTATATGCAACGATACAGGAATACAAGCTTTGTCGAAGAATGGCGTCGGTTCGAAAGAATTTTCTGCAACATTATTTCTACCGACAAATCTGGCAACTACTTTTTCAACATTAACTATATTTAGTTGCAGTAAAAAATCGATTGAAAATCGTACAAAAGTTAAAGAATTCAATTTGTTGCCATTTTATATGAAGCCTGTGTCAACTGATGATGAATCAGATTCAGAAGATCCATAGAGTAAAAAAAATAGAAGCTGGCTTACATGTATGTATCTTACCTTGATGAAAAGAAAAAAAAACACAAAATTTATCATTGGCTATAGACGATGTTTTCAATCTTCCTTTAATATGAATTTCTTTGTTTGTTTTATATATGTTTCTTATTATTTATGTGTATTAAATTTCTGATACACTTAATTAAAAACATTTTATTATTTAGTCGTCAAGTTCTCAGCTTTGAATGTTACATTTTATTAAATCTTTGAGTTCTAGATTGTTTGAGTTAGTTCTAGACTTTGAAGTTAAGTATCCCTCAAGGAAATCACGAGAGTTGTAACAACACTAAATTAAAACATTCAGTGGCAACACGACTTGTGAGTTCGTAACGTAAAAAAATATACATTTGCTATATAGTATGATTGAACATAATAAAGTAACCAAAGTTTATTAAGATAAATAAATATTCTTAAACCATAAGTTTTTTTTTTATTTTAGACCTTTAAGAAGATTATAAAAAGATTAAACTCACAAACTTTATTATTGCACGACCTCTAAACAACAGCCATCGTAAAGTTTAGAAAGAGCAAAGTTAAAACGTTAATACTACACTTAAAAGTTTTAAATTAATTTCACTCGCTCGTAATGGCTATTTTGTTTTTCATTACTTTGGGACAAGCTGCGTTAGTGGCAAAATAATTCGATTATATTAAAAAATAGATCTTCCAGTGTTCCAGCACTGGAAGCTGGCATAGTTAAGTAACTTAAATAACTAAAAAACTGATTAAACAACAAAATGTATATTTTGGAATTCTCATTCAATTAAAGTTTTCACTCTCGAAATATTATTACGAAATACGTATCAAATGTACGTTATATTTTACCAAAGAATGGAATTAGGAATGATTTTGTTGAGTGGAATCTCATTTAAACGTATTAAATTCAATAACTTTTACTTTTTCTATGTATTTTAAATAAAACGCAAAGGTCGTAATTTGGTTTCATCCATAAATAATATTTTCTATTGTCCCTATTAACGTAACTGTTTAGTTTCGAAAGCCCTTAAACGTTTTCAACGTGTAAAACTTTCGCTTAGCCTGCGGGCTTTTGAGCAATTAGGGATTAATTTACGTAATCGTGTTAGGCGTTCATTCAACACCATTTGAAATTTTAATGGTTTTTAGAATATTAATTTTAGATGTTGATTCATTTCTTACGTTATTTTTGCTATTAGTTATTGTTAAAAATAATACCAAATGCATTTTTTTTACTCACGCTGTCGGAAAAACTCAAACTTAGTTATATGTTAAATGGAGTTATGTTATACGATATTTGTGCTTGAAAATTTAAATCAATAAAAATTAAGTCGATTTAGCATTCTCATAAAGTTATTAGCTCTTGCCCGTGACTTTGTCCGCGAGGAGTTTTAATATTTAAAACTTATGTTCGCTACTTTTTTTAACCTTTACTAGATAAATATGAAGGAAGCCTAAAACACCTTTTTTAGTATTTACTTAGTAGTAGTCTACGTAGTAACAAAAATATCTATTCAATATTCTAATTTTCTTTGCCGAATAGTTAGTTTAGCACTCTTATAAAGTTATTTGACGAATTAAACATTAGGAAATAAGTTCAAAGAGTAAGGAAAGTTTCAATTTAATTAAAATCTACAATCAATATAATGACTGTAAGGATAGAACGTAGTGTGCGCCTGCGCTGATTCCGTCCCATGTTTCGGTGACAATTTGCTCGACGTATGTCGGTGGGACGAGAAACCCGTATTCATATCCTGGGAGCTCCAAAGTGTAAGTAAGTGGGATGCCGACAGCACGAGTCCAGTCTCTAGATGTCCCAGTGGTGTAGTACAGCACGTTAGCAGCATTACCGACAATGTATCTGTCAGCTTTCTCGAGTGCCATCTCGTCGATAGCAGTTGCCATACGCACACCAGCTACGTGGAGACTTAGAGCGTTCGATGGCAGGGATCCTGTATAACATGAAAAGTGTAAAATAAAATTGTATTTTGAGACAAAAGACGGTGGCGGTCAGTACAACCATCATTCTATTGTCTTCAGAAAATTGGCAATTTGTTACTGAAGGAAAAATTCAATGCAGAAATACTTAATTATTTCTTTGAGTTGATCTTTCCTAAATTGCAATTATTATACGAGCAAGATTGACCTGTTTTTTTGTTGAAAATAGTTGTAAACGATTTTTTAAGTAATATATTGAAACTTCAGATTGCATACCGTTGTTACCCCAAGCATACAAGAACATGTTTCCGAAACTGTGTACGGAAATGTACATGGCGGCGCGGTCTAGATTCTGTAAGACCACGTCTCTGATGACGCGGATCTCAGGTTCGGAGAAAGGTGCAGGTCCTTCGTAGATGATGGAGCAAGGATTAGCACTGGCCGCGCTGGTGCCGAAGTAATGGTCGAAGTTGCGGTTGCCGTCAACTCCGGGACATTCATCGCTGCCTTCGTGCGCTTTGGAACGAGTTTTACGCCACATACGGTCCTTAACAAAAATGGGCGAAACAATTTTAATTAAAAAATAAATCAAACCTTCTTTAACAAAAAATAAAAGTAAATTAATATGTTTTAATGATTATTAAATAGGTTTTATTTGAATTAATGTTGTTTATGAAATATTATGAGTCTTTAATAAAACATTACACTCACTAACAAGTTTCGTATCTCCGAAAATCACGATTTGCAAGTTTACTCACGAAATTTCTGTCGTTAAAGCAGTATATCATTACCGTTGATCGTGAATTTTCATTGCCATAATACATGTACAAAAACATATTGACATCTCTCTTATTTTCATTAATTAAACAGAGACAACGAGTAACAGGTGTTGCTAGTTTGTATTAGTTAATCAGTCACGTAAAGAATAGGCAATTTTGTGAGTAATATTTAAGGTCATATGATGTAATTGGCCTTTCTCTTGACTCATAAAGGAGTAATGAATAGTTTCAAAATAAGTACCTTTAGGCGCCTAAGATCTATGCCTTAGTAAAAACAAATAATAGTCAACATTAACATGACTAGATGTTGGACCCAATTATCAAGAAGTTATTTAATGGTTTGGTCTAGTAACTAACTAATAACTTGATATTACTTACCGTGGTAATAGAGTATTCATAGCCGTCAGGATTCGCCATTGGTATTATCACCCAATCCAATCTCTCCGTCAAGTTGTTGTCAACAACATCGACGACAAGCTGATGAATGATGTACAGAGCCACTGGGGCTGTGACCCATTCACGAGCGTGCACACCAGCGTCGATTATGATGACTGGCTTCCTCAGGTCCTCGAAGCGAGATGTCGAGATCCTCACGTATTTGATCTGACGACCTTCGTAGCTAAGAGCCGCGTTTATAACCGTCACTTTGTCAGGGAACTCCTCACCTAATTGGTCGATGTAGTTGTTGATCTAAGGGGAAATAACGGGAAGCATAAATAATGCTTCTATTTGTATTATGTAGCTAGAGTATGAAACAATAATGTTATACCTCTTCCGAGTTGTAATATGAGTCCCAACTGATCGATTTGCCACTTCGTTTTGCCGCATATTTCCTTTGTTTGATCATAGCTTCTTCGTTGCGAAGAATACTGAAGTAATCATAGAGTTTTAACATTTATTACACGTTTAGAGAGTACTTCATGCATTGCGTTGGAAAAAGTACACGAATAAAGTAAATATCGTACGAGGTCTAATTTTAGTTCCTTTCCCTTTCCATTTTCTTAACAGGAAAGGATGGGAAGGAAAATGGATTTGACGGAGGAGACGCAACGGAAGGGAAAACGTCCTCTTTATGTGCATCTCCTCCTCCGTCAATTAAGGGTAGGCAACGCATCTGCAATTGCGGATGTTTATGGACAGCGGTCGCTTTCCATTTCGGTGGATTCAACCGCTTGCTCGTTTGCCACCTTATATTATAAAAAAACTGAAAGTTTAAAGTCATCGTAACTTACTCGGCCAGGTTATCAATAACTTTAGTGTAAGTCATTTCTTTGGTATTGAAGTACTGCAGCCATTTCTGCTTCTCTTCCGGTGCAAGTCTGACCAAAGCTTCCAGATTGCCGGTGGTAGAACGGGCGGCGGGCGTCGCCGAGATGATGTCGAGGTGCGCCTCTAACGCACCGATCTCATGGCTCGGTCCCGACACGCGGTACAACTGATGCCTAAGAATATTGTAAACACAAACAATATAGACAAGAAAACAATTAAGGCAAACTTTCGTTTGGTTAGAGAAAAATATTTCATCCCGATCTGTCGTATCAAACCATGGATGATACAAAACTAATTTGTTCAAGACATTTGGTCGTAGAGATCTTGCAAATAGCCTTGGGCGGGGTTTAACCTTCTGATTCATAGATCTGATTTAATATTCTGTTTTTTGAAAAGTATGAAATAAATCATATTCCATAGGTAAAGATATGGCGAAGCGGAAATTATCCAACTAACTTCGTCTCAGTACTACAGTACCTAGAGCTATTAAGTCTTGTAGTTAACAAACGCCCGCAGAAATGGTCCTCGCAAGGAGTTGTAGGAGTTATGGAGTAGCGTTGTATAATTTATATTCAATTTGCCTTCATAACTAATATTAAACTTGGTCAGGCGTTGTGTTAACTACATGTGCAGCGGGAACACTAGATCTGGATGCTCTTGGCATTGTACCAAGTTTTAGCGTTAACTTTGCTCAATTAATGTTCTTAACTAACCAATTTAATATCTAAAACATTAATTCACATAATAGTATTTAGATTAATATTAAGAAGTTCCAAGTTCCTTCAAGAAGATAATCCTGATTCTTTATGATTCCTTGTGGGTTTTCTAACAAAAATTCTTTTGGTCAATGAAGATCAATTAAAAATTTGTTTTAACCAATGCAATTATTTATGTTTTGACATGTAACTAGTTACTGGTTGATTGTCGCGTGAAAGTTTTTAATAGAAGTTCACAATAGTTTAGTTTTAGGTGCCAATAAATCTTTGTTATAGGTAGGTATACATAACTAGTGTTGACCTTTTAATTTCTAATCGAAAATAAGTCTTATCTAGAAATTACCTTAATATCAAACAATAAAAATTATACAACTCTGTATTGATTAGGTTAATCTTTTTTTATTGTATTTCGTTAGGTTTATAAATTGTAGTTAACATATTTAACAAAATAATTTCATATCCTTAAAAAAATACCGTGCAATTTTATTGGGGGAATCCCGAATTATTTTTCATATAATTCCGTAAAAATGTTTACATGTACGTGATAGCTATATTAAATATCTTTATTATAAAACGAAACATGCATTATCAAGTAGGCTTTATATTCTTACACATGCATGTGAGGTATCCGTTGAGGAAAATTGGTCGAAACTGATTTACAAAAGGAAATTTATTCCGGAAGACCTCGTTAGTTGTCGGGTAAACAATATTAGTATTGCTTACTAAAAGCCCTTAGCAGGGTCAAGGCGGATACATGTCTCGTTAGTTTCGTGACTCTATAAGTTTGTATCTGATACTAAAATGAACTATAAAGAGACGGTGTTACTAATAACACCGTCTAAACAAAAATTATGTCGCGTGGTTAGCGTGGTATGGACATGTTATGCGAAGACGATGGGGACATAAACCAGAAAGTGTTAAGATTGAATGTGGTTGGTTACAAAGGTAGAGGTAGACCGAAGAAAGTATAGATGGATTGTGTGATAGAGGATGATGAAGGAGTGGATTCAGATATGACGGCTGATAGTGATGTATGGAAGAGCAGCACCTACTGTGCCGACCCTCCGTAAGGGATAAGGGCAAGTGGATGATGATGTTATTGTACTTCCCAAGACTTGTAATGTAACCATTAAATTTGATTAAATTAAAACTTTAAACTGCTATGGTTATGTAATATTTTGCGTTTTTGATTCCAGCTTACTTTATGGTTTTTATTTTAAAAAACAAAAGAGTTGTCACAATGTTTGAATCTTAGACTTAGGATAGATCTATCAGGGCACCAATAAAGGGTCGTATTTGTGGTAATTATCTTATATATTTTCCATTATTCGCTTCTCTAGGGGGATAGGTGCCCCACCCTAATCCTACCATGACCAACAATTTAAAAAAAATAGAGAAGAGTGCATAAGATAAAATTAGTAACTTACCCTTCATATTTCTCATGTTTACCATGGACAAAAGCCACGGCCAGTAGCAGGACACACAGCACCGATCTCGCCATCTTACTTTGCACTGACCCTAATCTGCTACCGTATTTACTTTTAATTCCTGTCGATAAGCGATATTTATTATATCTTTATTGCACTTTAATCTGCTATTGGAAATGATAAAGTGGATAAACTCAGCTTTGATGTATCGCTCCATGGTTATTTGTTACTACAGTTAGTAACATTTGATAAATTCTTCTCTTCTTGTTTCTATGCTAAGGTCCCGTAAGATTAAGATTGTTCTGAATGTAATGCGGAGTGAAGATGGCTTTAAAGGTAGACGGGAGTTATAAAAGGAATAAGTTGCCGGCATCAGTGTTCCCGTCCATAACGTGGGTGGCTTCCTTATAGAGTAGAGTTAATTCTTAGACCACATCTTCAGCTAACTTAGGTAGGATTCTGAAGCACTGGTTTATTTATGATTGAAAAAATTGTATAAATTGATGGTGTAAGTGTTAGTACGGCTGAGACAGATGTATGGAAGAGCATTGCGGACGTGGTCAGGGTGATGGTTAAATATATGAAGGTTTAAGACTTGTTTTAAAAGTATTGTGATCTCTGTTTTTGTGATTTAATTACAGTCAAAATGTCTTTATACAAAATTTTCGACAGTGGAAAGCGACAGTAATATAAAGTCGTGTTTCTCGTCTCACATTGCACGCATCACGCAGTCAGTCAAAGCTTATTTTCACTGTAGTACTGAATGATTGATATTTCAATTGTTATCAACTAAAACATTCCAAGGCCACATATTTAAATATTTTCACTACACGATTTTTTAAAATTTAATCTCATCTCATTTGTTTACATTGTCACAAATAGAGATCTATCTTTATCTAAATTCTGGGCCATTCTTTTAAACATCTATACTATTATAATAAAGAATAATATACACACTTTTTTGTGGCCTAAGATGTCAGCTAGCAAAAGACCTACACTTACGTCACGCTTTAGGCTATATATTTTCACGCGATTAAACTTAGGTGGTTAAATATTTTGGATAAAATTCCTAATGTGGGAAAGAGACCATAAGTTGTTGCCAACATCAAGAAAGCAAGATTGCTAAGGTTTGTCGTGTCATTTTGACATTTGCTATTCATAATTTGATAAATGTAAACAATAAAATAAAATTTTCATAATTTCATGCGGATGAAGTCGCACGGGAACAGCTAGTCAGTAATATTAGTAAACTGTGTTATAAAATTGTTAAAAAATGTTTACTTTAAAACCAATATATAATTTTATTATTACGTTTTATTACCGTATTGTTAGATAATAATAATTGTGATAGGATAATCAAGTACACATAAAAATTACGTAAACTAAAAACATAAGCAACAAAAGTTTAGTGTACCATTTTTATTTCTGTTGTAAATTTTGACTTTAAGTTATATTTTATTTCTGGATGTTAATGGTAATGAATGTACTTATGACGTTGTATGACGTCATTCCCTTTTACATTAGGAGGGCATTACGTTTTACGAAGAGAGAACGTCAAGACGAGTAATAATCGTTATTATTAATAATGTAAACAACCGAAAATGTTACTCTTATTGCAGTAAAACATCGTCTGCTAAAATACTTATCTTATTTACAATATACTTGAAGCTCATAAACAATAATTTGCACGAAATTAGCACGTTTTTACTGAAATTGTGAAAACCTTAGAACAGCCACTTATTTTTAATTTTTTTTTGCCTCTGAATCGAATCCTATTGCTAAGCTATGAATATACGAATGTACATCATGATGAAAATGTATTGTTATTTACTCCAAGTAAATAAATCAACATTTAACGAATAATTTTTTGTTAAATAAAAATAAAAAATCCTTAAATATGTTTATTTATAAAATAAAAGTCGATTAAGATCAAATTAATAATATGATTTAATTTGTTAATGATAGTGAAGAGGTTACACATAATTATGGAAATAGGTAATTTTTTTTATCGTATTTCGTTAACTAAATTAAGAAATATTTCTACAGTATCATTCTCATGTTCCAAATAAATTTGTAGTAAATTTTCCACAGCGTCCTTTTAAAACCTGAATGTCTCCAAGCATAAATTATTGGATCACATACACTGTTACTTACGCCCAAAATATAAAGTGGTCCTAATGTTAATACTTCTAAAGGTATGCAATCGTAACCGTTCTTGGTAATATCGCATTTTACATATATTATTATTGCAATATAATAAGGTGTCCAAGTGCCTACAAAACAGAGTAAAATGAGAAATACTGTTTTGACAGCTTTAATTTTACTGGGATGGTTGTTGACCGCCCTTGCCTTTAGTTGACCGGTCATTTTTAAAAACTTGTTTTTATTTTTTATACCAGCGAGATTTTTCTCGAGATTCTCACCAGCCAGTACGTGCGTTTCATTAGGGTTGTCAGTTATTTCTGTGACAGTTTGTGACGATATTGTTATAGTTATTGTTGATGTTTCTTGAACGGGAGAATTTATATGTTCATCGTATTTATATGCCTTGTTTATGTACGATATTGTATGACTCTCTTGGAACTCTCTGATTCTGTCCACAGTTTGTACGGCGCTGCGTAATATCATCATGTACAATACGCAAACGATGATGATAACTGACAATGCCATTAGTGATACGATAATCAGGAGCGGTGGCGGGAAGACAGCGATGTACCAACATCTGTAGCCTCTGAAGGTGCTGCCAGTCCAGCCCATAGCTGGCAAGCTGGCTACAAACAGACCTGGAAATTACGTCATAATTGAATTTTAGTCTCGTCTTTTAAATAAAGACTTAATCATTCCGTATTTCTTTTCTTTGTATCTTTAATCTGCTTTGTTTTTTTTCTTTTTACATTTGCAATAAATTGTTTACAATGCCTACAGACATAGCTTTTAAAGCAAAAAAGGTAAGAGGAAAATTCGAAATTTGTATTAATAAATATGTGTAAAATGCTAATAACTAACTTTAGTTTTTTGAAAAGTTAAGCATCATTTTTCATTTGTTTAAAAACAATCTTGCAAAAAATACATACCTTTTCTCATATTATTAGATACAAACATAAAGACTGAAAGAAAAATTTGTTAAATTAAATAGCTTTTTAATTACTTTTAAGACAATTCGTGTGCACTGTTAGAAAACTCGTGCAAAAATAAAAAATTTTGGCCACATTTTATTACCTATCTTGCATTGTACACAATAAAAACATTTATCTAAATATTATGTCATCTGAAAAATAGTTACATATAATGTGCATTTCGTGCTATGTATATTAGGTCTTGACGATATATGTCATGTAGATGAGACATAAATTGTACAGTAATTTTGATCCACTTCACCTTGTTTACTTGGCGTAGAAACACACTGCCTAATAGACATTCTACACATGTAAATTGTTGTAGCTACTGGTACTAAATTTAAATATATTACTTAACATAAAAAGCGTTTACATTAATCAGAGGTAAGGGTTTTTGAATATACTCTTAATGTATTTCTGGAAATATGTCTTGACACTTTGTTGGAATCCTTTATGCCACCATGCGTAAATCAAAGGATTTAATATATTATTGCAAAAAGCAATAACTGCTAGCGGGCCTCGCAACAATATTCTCATGTCTAGGCACTTAGGATTTGTCAATTTTTCCTCGCAGAATACGTAGAAAATAGCCGTTATAAAAAACGGTATCCATGTCATTATGAAGCTGCCCGTTGTTAGCATCACTATTAACACTGCCCTCAATCTATTGGGCTCTTTCATCTTCTCTTTGTAACGGGTTGTGCAATTCGCTATTGCTTTGGCAATTTTATGAGGCGATTGCCTTATATCAGCTATCGAATCATTTATAATCGTCGAAGTACTTATAGTGAGGAAACTGGTATCAGACACACGTTTGTTTGATGTTTTCGAGTAAGTCGTGCCATTTAAATTGCCTATTTGATCGTTGCTAAGGTTTTCGATGCTTTTTGATTTGTCTTTTTGTGTTTTTAATTCTTTTTTACATCCATCAGCAGTATCAAATGAAGCACTCCTTTTAATTTTAGTTACACTTAGTTTTCTAGGAACTTTCACTGATTGTGTTGCTTTGTAATTGCCGTGTCCGCGGTAAGCTCGAATTTCTGTAGCGTCGTTGGATGATTTGATTCTTACAGTTTTTAACGTTTTATTAATTTGTTTAGCATTCTTAAGAGCTTTGAAAAGGATGATGGTATATAATACTGCTACTAATATGATTGGTATTATGCTTAAAAGTGAATTTATTAATATCAGAATACTAGGAAAGAGTGCTACATAGGTGCACTTAATATCTAAGTGGTCTTCGTTCACGAGACCGGTGATGGGCATGAATCCAAGGGTTAGACCTGTGAAGCAATACGTGCAGTGAGGTGCTTTGTTACAAACACGAAGCATGTTAGACATTGAACGTTAAAAACTAAGCAATAAAGCTCAAACTCATTTTATCACTTACCGATCATCCAAATACACATTATGATTATCCTCACTTTAGTGGTGTTGCACCATCTTTGGTAATATAATCCGTGTAGTATGTAGATATATCTATCCACGGCGATCATGCCGACGCTGAATATTGACACCATGGCTGGACAAACCAGCATACCTACAAAATGCCACTTCATTTATTTACATAGCTAGCTGTTACTCCCGAATTCATACGCGTGAAATTATAAAACAATAATAAATAAAGCCTGATTGTTACTCACTGATAACGTAGCCTTTTAATGGTGAAAGAATTTTTGAATTTGACCTAGTAGTTTTTGAGTTATTTCATTTTTAAAAGTTATTTTTGACTTACCAATTTGGAATATGCATAGCGTGTTTGAACTTGTGGTGGTTTCAACGCTGACACCGAAAATGATAGAGATCCCGATGATTGTGTCGGCGAGTGACACATTTCCGAGTAAAAGATATGTACTTTTTGGTTGTTGACCTAAAACACGTAAGAAAACATAATTAGTCAAGCATACCTAGGCTGTTTAGACCAACAATTCTCTAAATGATCTTGGTAGATGGCGGCATCACCGAAACAAGTACAATTTTGAAAATGATCTATCGAACAACTGATACGTGTTTGGGCAAATTCCAGTGTCTCTGTAGAGCATGTATGGAATGTGAAGAAATCAGTTAAGAACATTTAAAATAGTTTCCAATGAGAGGTTTTAACCAAGTTACTAACCAAGACATTCTTTTAGCAGCTTGTATTTGTTTTGTTAGTTATTTATAAAGTAAATTGTGTAATCACTCTGAGTGTGTAAGTACAAGTGAGTTTGTGTGGATTACATATTCCATTAGCGATTTGAAGTGTGTGAACAAACAAAATCCTCATTATTCATACGGAATAATGTCTGCATGTGTGAGATTTTCTTGAATATGTATTCTTGATAATATCAGTTATTAAATCACCAAAGTAAAATATTTCTCGACGTGCTATGAAAGTAAAAGTTAAATAAAGTTGTAGATTATTATCGTAGTTCTCCAAATTGATATAAACTGCAAGAAATTAGATTCTAATCCGTTAAAGAGTATTGACAAGAATATTTTTTTGCAGTATCTACTAATACAATACAAAAAAAAAATACGTTAAAATAACCAAATACATCTCATTCGTTTATATTGGATTCATCCTCATCATCTTCCTCCTTATCCTACTTCCGTAAGGTTGGCGCAATAGGTTTTTGTCCTTCACACAACTCTATCTCATCTCACGTCATCTCAGTCATCACTCCCTTTTTGACCATGTTACCTTTCATACAATCCATCCATCTCCTTCTAGGTCTACCTCTACCGTTGTCCCCTTTCACACTCATATGTATCTACTCATTCATTGATATCGCATTATGTTTAGAAATAAAATTGAATGTTACAACTTTTATAATACTATATGGTGTTTTGTTTTGTTCAAATGTTTATGGTTTTGGCGTGTACGTGAGCCAAATGTTCACATTGGATCGGTTATGTGAGCCATTAACTATGTAGCTATGCTGAAAACGTTATGGCATGCCTGTCATTTAGTTGGTCACGAGAACACGCATATTACCTTACATAGTAGGTATGTGCAACAAAAACTCGACAAGATGTTATTTATTCAGTTATATATGTACACTTTTAACTTTATTAGTTTAAGATGTACTCGCCACTAAGGGATACATAGATATCACGTACTTCTATTTAGCTAGACCATGGCATACTTTCCTTGCTTTGTCTACTTATAGAATACTAGCTGTTGGTCGCGACTTCGCCCGCGTGAAGTTAAAAAATAATAAAAAAGTTTATAGCCTATGTTTCACGCAGATAAATGATCTTTCTAACGGTGAAAGTTTTTTTTAAATCGGCCCAGTAGTTTTTGAATTATCTCAATACATACAAAAATACAAATCTTTTCTCTTTATAATCTAGATGTCGAAATAGTTACCTCATCAACCTGCCTTTGTCTCGGAGAGTTGGCACAGTATTTCTTCCATACATCTGTCAGGCGTTATATCTGAATTTCCCTTCTTACGCATATCCTGTATCACACAATCTATATTCTTTTTCAGTCTTCCTCCAACATTCCATCCACATTTAATCTTACGTAAAAGATACATTCTAGTCAAGTTAAATATCTTTAGAAAAGTACTTTTTTATGTTAAATTATAAATAAATCGTTAAATGTGTTAATTTTTAAGAATGTCAACGATGATTTCACATAGACTTTCCGGATTTCCATTAAGTTCTTTTTAGAATTTGCTAATAAATCTTTATCAATGGATTGTAAAAAACACACTTGTTTGCACGTTTCACATTAATAGCGTAATAAATTATAGTAAAAAAATGTGTTACAATCGTTGCCCAATAGAAGTCCAAATTATAATACAGCCTTCATGATTACATCACTAGCATTATATTTTTTAGTTTATCTTTCATTTCCTTCTTTGTGGTAAGACAACTGTTGACCCGATTAATGACCCAAAAAAGTTTTTAACCTGTAAAAACCTACAGGGTTTAAGTGTTCCCGCTAGTTGTTTAATAAAACACTTCGATTACTTTATCGAGGAGAATGCAATCAAAGCATAGTTATTAGTTTTACGAACAGTTTCCTGACTTATCTGTTATAGTTAGGGATACAACACTAGTGATGACCTCTCATCAGATTTCCTGATAAAACCTACATTACGTGAAAGAGCACAATTTTTAAACATGTTGTAACCGGGGTGCCTAATTACCGACGACGAGAGATTTTATATAAGAAACCAGAAATATGTATTATCTTCCTATTTTTGTTTTTAAAAGTGATTTTTTGTTTAATTCTTTTAATAGAATAAGATTCATTATTATATAACATAGTAAAACCATTCAATATTTTATTTAATAACTAAGTTACAAGTTGTATGGATAAATAGAATTGATTTGACGTCGTAACTTTCAGTTTATTTAAAAAATCTTTATGTTTTGTCTAAATATTATTGTAGTTTAGTTTAATCCTTAATTAACACATTTATTTTCCATAGAATAATAACATTTATGTAAAATATTTTATTTTTGTAAATTAAATCATTAATTGCATTAGTAATATCGATTTTGATAGGCGTACACAAGATTTATTTTATGACAATTATGAATGAACTACTGTTGTTGTTTGTTTTTTTTTTACCTTTTTTAATGATAAGACCACTGGAGATGACCACAGTCAGGTTGCTGAGGAATATCACAGCACCAAACACATAAGCGATAGATTTATAAGCACTGAGTTGTTCACGCTCCTTGGTTCTGTACGCCTCGTACAAATCAAACAGATGTGTTTGCGTCACTTCACTATGATTAGTATAATTAGAGATGTCATCACTTAAAAAATCCGTCACAAGTTTTGTCAAAGCGTAATCCGAATGATTGTAACTCATTTTAGTCACTGTCATAAAAGTAAAATTAAACAATATTTGAATAAATTATTAAAATAATACGCGCGTCTCATGTGGCGCATGTCAATATCGGTTCTCAGTTAAGAATGAGATGATGCCAAACATTGCGCTTGAGGATAATGGTAAATGACAGAGTTTTGTTTATTATAATGAGGTGATTTACATTTTTATAGTTCCTCGGATAGTTACTGGAGAAAACACGCGCGGCATTGTAGATTAAATCTTGTTTATTTTATTATTCTTTAGAAAATGATTACAGCTTAATTGTTTACTATCAGATTTTAATAGTTATTCAAGGTATTAGCGATCATTGAGACATTTTATGTTAGGGGAAAAACAATGTTGCTATGGGCAACGTGTATTCATCAAGAAATCGAGAAAGACCTAAGACTACTATTACTAAGTACCTGTAAATTGAGCATAAGTAGTCCTAAGACTAGGACTACTAATTTGATTAAATATGTGACAGTAATCTTTCGATCGCGAAAATTGTTGTTTGTTCTTACTTTTGAGAATTAAGTTTTTTTTACCTCTTTCTGACATAAAAGATGACTTGCATATTTCAATCTAAAAATCATTAATTAAGCAAAAACATAAAAAACCTTTATGAAAATGATAAATTATATGAATATAACACTTGACACGAACTCGCAATATTGTAAGTACGTTAAATGACCATCAATAAACCTGACAAGTTTTATATTTACGTGAGTAATATTAAATTTTTGTATGAATTAATCAAGTGTTGATTGATGAGTGTTTTAATAGAAAGGCTTATAATTAAATCAGTTTAATTAAAGCGACCTCATCGAGCGTTTAAAGGGTAACCGGTCCAATGCTTTAAGTATTTTTTTTTTATTAATTTAAAGACATCCCCTTCAATATAACGTGCGGGTGAAGTCGTTAGTATGTACTATGTACTTCATATTTTAATATCATTATTCCAATGTTTTGTGATTTTTTACTATATTGAATCCAGGTAGGAAAAGTGTACTAGTTAGCATTAATTTACCTTCTCCAAATAACAAGATAGACTATTCAAATTATAACATCACCAGCATCTAAATTTGTCTTTAATGAATATAAATTGTTAAGTCAAGTATTTGACATTATTAAGAAGCATGTAATATTTAGTAAGTTTTTAATTTTTGTAGTCAAGTTGAATTACATTGGGTATCTTTTGCGTAGCTGGTAATGGATGGATTCATTTGGCAGAATTTAAGACAGCACTTTAGTATTCCAGTAATAAAATGGCGATGGACGAAAAATAAAACCATAAATGTATTAGTGTAACTCGTAATAGAGTTACAAAGGCTAATCGCAATAAACTTTAGCGTTTGTATCATTACTTTACTATAAATAGAGAGTATTCAAAAACTTATAACTAAACTTAATAAGATAAAATATATATAGGCAAATATAAAAATGATAACTGTAAAAATAGTTTTGTATATCGGAACGCAAAAACCTTCCTTTTCTTCTATCATCTGTCAAGTCTAGTTGACAGTGATGTCAGTTTATGATAGGTTATGTTTATATTAGAAAATAAAGATTTAAAATAACTTAGCATAATTAAATAATTTCTTAAACTAATACAGCAATATCATCATAATGCTAGGTTTATCGGTTTTAAAACAATTTTCCAGGTAATTTTTTGAAGATGTACAAACGTAACCTATATTATAAATATTATTTAACAATTTTTTACCAATATTTTTAGATTGTCGTTGTCCACACCTATAGCAGTAGCTATAAATCGAAATATTTTCACCGCACCTGCGTTACAATTTAGAATAACAGATCAATTATGGTAAGATATTTACGATTATTAAGTATGAAGAAACCATACAGATACTGAGAATTTTTATTAACTTTCTTAGTGCCGAGCCTTTAAAGAAGAAGAAGAAAATGGATCCTGCTATTATAAAAGCTCGTGAAGATAGGCGTCGTAAGAAATTAGAAAAACAAATCCGACGTTTAGAAAAGAATGCTAGGCAATTGAAGCCTATTGAGGAATTGGAGATACCTTTAAATGTTATGGATCATATTGGGTAAATCATATTATTTATTTGCTATAGGAAAAAAAAATTCATACATTAATGTACCAATGTTATAGCTGTCTCCATTAAAAATGTTTTTATATGTAAACAAGTTCGCAAAAGTAATGTAACAATATTATTTTAGAAAGCGGAAAAGACCTGAAGTGAAACTGAGTGATCAGGAAGTAGAAGCTCGAGCATTATTACAAAAAGAATGGAGCCGATACAAACGTGTGGAGTACATATCAACTGTTGCACAAATAGACAGAATAATGGCTGCACAAAAACGTGCATTAGATATGCTCTATGAGGAGTCCGAAGATTTGTATAATGAAGCTGTTATGGTAAGTTCATTATTCAAATATTTGAATATACAGTAGATCCTCGATAAGTTAAAGTCCAGGGGAAACACAAAATATTTTGAGTTGTTTTTTTTTTATAACATAAGGTGGCAAACGAGCAAGCGGCCACCTGAAACCGCCAAAATGGCGAAGCGACCGCTGCCCATAGACATCCGCAATTGCAGATGTGTTGCCTACCCTTATACGACGGAGGAGGAGACGCACATAAAGAGGATATTTCCCCTTCCTATGCATCTCCTCCACCGTCAAATCCACTTCCTCTTCCCAACCTCTCCTTAAAAGAAAAGGGTGGTAAAGAGAAAGGGACTTCAATTAGGCCTCTGGCTCCACACTCATCAGACGAAACACGGAATTGCTTCCATTTCACGCCTGTCTTCTGTGTGGTCGTGGTATTACACTGGGTGTGCCGGCCCTGCAGTGCTAAGATGTTAAAGCGGGCACTACCACTACCATTTTAAGTTGTACAGGTTTTAAGTTATCAAGGATATATGTTATAGAGGTTTTGGGCTCTGGTGAGAAGAGAACATATTGTTTTTAAAAATTTTAGAGGTTTTTATGTTTCCGAGCTTTGAATATATAGGAAATTGTACAAGCCAGTTGCTTTGTATCATATAACTAATCACAAATATCAAATACATGTGTTACTGATACATTAATATCAATTTCTATTAATAAAAAAATGTTTTTACTAAGGATTATTTCCTTGTCACTAATACAGATGGCACACCACATTTTCATTCAATGTTTTGTCCATATTTCTCCACTCTGTTCTTAACCAAGTCCCCTTCCAGTATTTCATTCATGTTTCTATGCCTATATTCTTTTTGCTTTTTTACTTAGGCTAAATAAATAACTATTTAAAGCCTCCTTATAAATAGATTTAACAATTATATTGCTCATTACGTTTTCTGTTGCTAAATATGTTTAAATGTTCAGCTACAATTGTTTTCAATTACTGATGTGCCTCATGTATGTTGTTAATGTCCCAACATATTTTGCATAATTGATTTTATGCTATGCATTATAAATGTCAATTAGTAATATTTGAATTAATAGTTTGGTCATAGTATATATATTATAGCTGTTATAAAAGTTCATCAATATAATTAAAGTTTATAAATGACTAGCTGTTGTTCGCGACTTCGCCTGCTTTAAATTAAAAAATATAGCCTATGTTAATGACTTATAATGTAGCTTTATAATGGTGAAAGAATTTTTGAAATCGGACCAGTCGTTTTTTAGTTATTTCAATAATACAAGAATACAAATCTTTCCTCTTTATTATTAGTATAGGTATCTTTCAAATTTACCTAAAAAGTTTAAAACTGGTCAGTAGGGCCAGTTTTCAAGATGAACTTTAAAAAAAATCTAGTAAATAAGATTTAAGATTTACTATTCTCTAATATTAATATGCTTCGTCCGATTATAATTTTTTTGTATAAATTAGACAGTGTAACTGCATTTTATTTTGTTCACAGCCGGACCTCAAATTGATTCCATACAGTATAAAAGGTCCTGTTGCAACTCCAGCCATCAAGAATTACGACTCCCCCGATGGAGAATACATAGATGTTTCTAAAAAGTGGATTAACTAATTTTTGTTTGTTAAGTAGGTTTTATTAGATTGTTCATAAATAAAGAATACATTTAAAAGAATTATTTATACTTTTGTGTAGTAAGAAAAAAATCCTGAACCTGTTAAACTTATAAAATGATTTTTTTATGCGGTGCAATAGTTATGTGAATGAAGTGTTTTAGTCAATTTTATATTAAGCTGAACATGTATTAATGCTTATCATTTTATAAGTAATCCTAAAGTTACTCGACAGGTAAATTGAATTTTCACGCTTTATTGGCAATGAAAATACTTTCCAAGTAAACATTACGATTTGTTGAACTTAAGTTATTATCAATGCAGTTTACTTGTATATTAAATTTGAAACTCTTCGGGAAAGATGAAAATTATATTGGTATTATTTACTTGAAAGTAAGTATTCTGGATTTAATCTACTGGAATCCTTATTCTATTTTTAATACGTTTCTTTGTTCTTTCAGTGTGCATATTGTTAATTATTGCACAAGTATTAATTTATATTAATATTATAAACGTAATGACGTCACATTTAGACGAAGTAATGTACGTAAATAATCCAATAGAAGCTGGATTACCCGGTCACTGGGTACCTTTGAGCGTTATCAAAAGGGTTTTAGAAATGCGTGCATCCGCAGTTAATTACCGGACAACACCACGTAAAGTTAAATTAAAACATTTGACAATACCTTTATCACACTTTAAGACGAGAAAACATAAAGCTAAAAGTAAACATAATTTGATAACTATATCACAAGACACTAATTCGCCAAATGATAGCGAGTTAACTGGAAAAAGCACAAAAATCGAACCAGAAATTTTAAATAACATTGAGACAAAAACTAAAGGACTAGAAGATACAATAACAGAAAGAGCAATAACAACTAATGAAAACATAGATCCTAATGCCTTACCTAGTTCATTAAGTTCTGTAACAACTGATTTTAACAATAGAGATACTGGTTCAACAACCTTACGTGCTACGACTGTACCAACGACCAGACCATCCACAAAGGGAACTATTGAAGTTATCGAAGTCACCAATCAATTAGATAACCTAACAACCGCAGCTAAAACTACATGCACTTCATTAGTTTTATCAACAACTACATCCACGCCTGTACCACTTAAAAGTTCAACCAACGAAGTTTCTTCAACATTGGAAACATCGACTGCAAACACAACTACGACTTCTGAACCAATTACAACCACTATTCCAAATATACCAGATACTACTAAATCGACTACAGGCACTATTGCAACTATAAAAGATACAACTAAACCGACTACCGGCACTACTGCAACTATAAAAGATACAACTAAACTGACTATAGGCACTACTGCAACTATAAAAGATACAACTAAAGTAACTACAGGCACTACTGCAACTGTACCAGATACTTCTGAATCGGTTACAAGCACTACCACGATTGTAACAATATCTGAATCAACAACTACAACTTTAATTATGACATCCACACAATCCACAGTAATAACTACAGAAGATTCATCAGAACGATCTGATACTGGGAATCCGTTTTATTAAATTTTACTACTTATATTATTGTTTCTTTCTATGAGAACGGTTCCTTTTTCAAACGCGGCGTTTTCGTATGCTATACAAAAAAAGGTAATCTTGTAAATAATAATAATAATAAGGCCCGATTCAAAAGGCGGTTATTTTAGAAACCGCACGAATAGTGAGGAGGTTCCTGTCTCTGCAGCCCTGACCACTGGTTGCTTGAGTCATCGGATTCCGCAGCCGGTGGTGCTCTATTTTTTATATAATATAATTTATTTTAATTTTTGTATTCTTGTAAAATGTATTATATAGAGAGTAAGAAATAAAGATATATGAAGGAATAATAATAATAATAATAATAATACTACACACACACACATGTCCCGTTTACTGTTAATGCTATTGGGCACCTATTCCATCTTCATTTTTCATCCTCTCGTCATAAAAGAGAAAAAACAAAAGACCAATTTTATACAATTAAGTATCCTCATACATGTTTAATATAAGACAGTTAACAAAGTTAGGATTTTGTAGTTAGTAATTAAATGTAAGAAAATCTTTTGTTACTTTGGGACAAATGAAAAGGATTACGTTTTTAATGTTTTAATAATTAAAATTGAAAAAGTAGTTTATTAATAATCAAAATAATGATTAACACATGGAGTTAAAAATCACATAAATGAAATGGCTTTATTACTAAATGTAATAAATATCATTTCCTTGACTTAATATTAGTTTTTCCATAATTTCCGCAATAGTATCCCAACTTTTGACACATCTGGCAAAGATCCCTTTTATGTTCCTGATTGTCACTCGATTTTGCAAAATCTGAAGGGCGCAATTCTCTCTGAAATTAGTAAATAACAAAAGAATGTATATTTAACAACTCTTACATTTTTTACATTAACAAGATGTACATAAATCAAACATCACGGTAGAATGTCTTAACCTCAACAAAAACACAAAATAAAACTGTTCATGTCATGGTTATATTGTACCATCAAAACACTTATAGTGGTCAATAGTAGTCCTGTATATAATAGTTCCAAATTGCATCCAAATTCAAGCAGCAATGTCCTTTCAAAGTTCGTATTCATAATCCCGGTAAGTACTTGAACGTATTTCACCTGATTGAAGGGGTAAACGGGCTTCTTACACCGGTTGCAGAGATTGTAGGTATTAGCCCAGCTAAGTCTGCTGGTCCAGGACCGTCCACATGCAGTACATTTATATTCTCCAAATAAAGCTTTCGGTTTTACTACTGGCACCTGGTAGAAAAAAACAACTTAACAAACTATTCTTAATAATCAAACATAAATAAAAAAATGAAACAGTATTTTTATATTTTTATGTGCCAAATAATGACTTTATTGCAAACTAAAACAATCAAACTATAATTTCGACGTCTTAAAACTTACCCTGCAATTATACGGCGCCTGCGCAGAAATCCGGACACTTGAATAATTTTGTCGTCTTTCATAACGCTCGGGTTCGGACTACAATAATAAATTAAGGACGGTATTAGAAAACACAAATGTTTTTAATAATAAAATTAACCTAATATGGAGAAAAACTTACCTCGTTAGACCAAAAGCAACCCATTTTATAATTGAAAGTTAACAAAATCAAAGTTACATTTAGATGTTTTCTTAATGAGAATCAAAACCTTGTAAAGTTATTGTCGCAAATGTAGCATCACCTTATTAAACTCTGTACAGAGTCTGTATGGCTCTTAACTACGTATTTATAATTTGATCCAAGTTGTCAGTGTAAACATTTTTATATACATAATATAAGAGAATTGCTGATTGTAGTAGTACATATTCTGCAGAGTTAAAAAGGGACATCACTGTACAATAAAGAAAATGTTGCCATAGAAATATAAAATGTTTTACTTGCAAATATTTTTATGGTTACAAATATTGCCTGTAATTTTTTGCAATTATCGGTGAAATGTTGTTATAAAACACTTTTTTATCTAATAATTTTAATTACTTATTTAATAACACAACAAAGTTAAACTTACTTCTACTTATCTTTCACTGTTATTTCCCACCATATTTATAGTCTCATTTTATCTGTGACATGATAGTGTTGCCATTTTGATTGTAACAATTGTAACTAATCATTAAATTCTTATTTTGTCTGGTAGGATTAATTTCCAAGAAATCGCATTAATAAAATACATTATGACGTTATTAAAATTGAATCAAATTTTGTTTATGCAAAACTTTAAAATTTAAAAGGTTAACATTGTGTCAACCTTATTTTTAAGTTACGGATATTCGATCCGATCGACATAAATTACTACAGTTAAAGGGAACGTAACTGCAATAAAATATATTTTAGGCGTGTGGGTATGCTTTTAAAGGATTTCAGAGTCGGAATATATATCATGGGAAAGGGATTGAATACGTTTACGGAATGCTTAAGTTATTAGTTACACATATAACTCCTGTACATATTATTATGTAGCATAATTAAAACAGTGGTGTTGAGTTTTATTTTTGATTTTATTTTAATAAGTCACTTATCTATTTATGGCGAATACATAATTTGTAAACATTCGCCGAGTGACAACAGTATCAACACTTAAGAAAAGGTAAGTAGACCGTTCTTATATTTAACGAATTGTCAATAGTAAAAACATTTTATTGAAGCTTAATATTTGGGACAATTAGATCCTTTGCGATCCGTCTTATAGAAAGTTGTTCAATAAAGGTACCAAAATGTTCCAGGCCCTAGGATGTATACAGACCAAAGGACAATGTCTTGCTTGACCGCTGATAACCGTCGTAAGTCCACTGTTTATTAAAACGTTATTCATCTACTAGCTTCCGCCCGCGACTCCTTTCGGGTGGAATTAAAAAAAGCAAAAGTGAGTAGCCTATGTGGTCTTCCAGACTATCCTCTACGTCTTTGCCTAATTTCATCGAGATCCGTTCAGTCGTTTAGGCTGCAAACTCTAACAAACATTCATCCATCCATCTAAACTTTTCTGTAAAATCTTATACGAGTTAAGCTACAAGTCAAATTTTAATCTATACTTCTATACTATTATAATAAAGCGTAAAAACACATTACTTCGTGCCGTAAGATGTCAGCAATCACATAATTTTGAATAATTCTTTCTTATAACTACATACACCGACACGCTTTAGGCTATATATTTTCTCGCTATTAAACTTAGGTGTTAAATTAATTGGAAAAAAACCTTAATGTGGGAAAGGGACCACAAACTAAAAGCTGCCAACATTACGGACGCAACGTTATTATGGTAACGATAATTTTGACATTTGCAATTTGAATTTTTATAATGAAATGCGGATGAAGCCGCGCGGGAAAAGCGAGTCTTTAATAAAAGGCAAAGTTTTGATGCGGGCGTGTCGACGCTGGCTACCGGGGAGATTGAAGGTTTACTTTGTAGTTTGCTGTTGATTCTTGATCACTTTAAACTAATTCCATCTTACTAATATTATAAATTGGCCAGTTTGAATGGATGTTCGTTAGAAAAAAACTCCAGAAGCTGGATGGATTTATATCGAAGTGGCTACCTGAAGAACAAAATATCAAAATTAGTAATTAGAAAGTATAACATAGGTTACTGTTTTTTTTTTAAATTCTTCGCGGAACAAATCTTGGGCAAAAGCTAGTTATGATTTAAAAGTTAAGTGGTTTTACGAAGATTAAATACTGCTACCTATTTTCGCTCGTGTATCAATAAATATGAGTACATAAAGCGTTATGCTTGAAATGTACTTTTTGACTAAAGAAGTTTGTGAAAATCCTTATATCTTTGTTAACTTACGTGTACTGTCTAATTTAGACTTATCTTTGAAGGGTAAAGTCATTTATATCCTTAGAAGAAGAAATGTTCTTTGCAACGAACAAGTTGCGGGTTAGTGCTCAACCGTCTGGAAGTATCCGAGAGCCTTTATTATTTTGCGCTAACTGGAGAGCGCGATGGGAGCGGTTAACTTTAAACGTGGGTTTACACGGTAGAAACATCTATACAGAAACGTACTGTTATCTCAGTTTCAACAAATGGAATGAAAAGGATGGATATATGGTTTGTGGGATTGTTTTGGCCGTGGAAATTCACGGTAACTTTATCTATTGGACTACACGTCATTGAGGCGGGGACAGTTATGTTCGTTCGTGCGTTAATAGGTGTATTTCAGTTGATAAATTTAGTATTATATGCTATTAGTTTTTATTAAATTTGGCAATTAAATTATTTAACGTCACAAGGCTCTTTAGCTGTCGCTATGAAGTGTTGAAAGGGGGTATAAGATAGATCGTTGGAAGGTTCTATTTACATAAAAACGCTGCTAAATAATGCTGTACTAGTACTAACTTTTGCCTAGGACAACTTTGAATAAAAAAAAAACTTGCCTGTGCGTTCTTCCATACTATATTTTATGTTTGTACCTCATCGTGATCTATTAAGAATTAAAAGAATGAACCTATTAAAACTTTCGTGAGACATTATACTGCATAAATTATAACACGGCTAAACTCACGTGATAACATTCGGTGTAGGCACCGACAGTTTCGAACCCGTTGGGGGACCTTCTTCAGGGTGAGTGATGAATCGGGTATACTCGCTATCGCGCACACATCTATTAAGATGTTATAGAGGTACGTAGTTACAAGCATTCAAGTATGCGCATTTATAAAAAAGCAAATACAAATACAATAATATTAGTATGATTAGTATAAAGTATGTAATAGCAAATTATTTTAACTAGCTGTTCCCGTGCGGCTTCATCTGCATGAAATTATGAAAATTTTATTTTATTTTTTACATTTGTCAAATTATCAATTGCAAATGTCAAAATGACATGACATGATGACAATCCATGGCAATTCTGCTTCCTTGATGTTGGCAACAACTTATGGTCTCTTTCCCACACTAAAGTTTTTATCCAATTTATATACCAACTAAGTTTAATAGCGTGAAAGTAACCTATAAACTAAATGTAGGGCTTTTTATTAAAAAAAAGAATTATTTAAAAATATGGTGTAATTTCTGACATCTTAGGTAACAAAGAAGTGTGTATTTACGCTTTATTATAATAGTATAGATAATAAAGCGTAAACACACACTTCTAAATTATTACGTTTTTTATCTGATTTGCAGCAAAACGTACTGGTGAAATATATGATTACAGTGAAAAGCTGTGGTAAATTTCATGATTCATGAGATTTTACCGTGGCTCGTTCCATTGATGCGCGTCCCGGGAATAAAATGAAAATAGAGTAATACGTCTGTCTAGTTTAAGGCAATGAGCTCGTTTTTAAATCTAGGAAAAATGTCGTTTTAAAACGGACATTTATAACATGAGAAAACTATGTAAAACGCTTAAGAGATTTTTACAACATACAAAAATAGTCGGTTGTTATAAAATCTCTTAACTTAGTAGTTTACTAAAAGATTAAATAAAGTTTTGGAATACATTAGAACCTCGATAACTCAAACCACAATAACATAAAAACCTTTATAACTTCAAAAAAATATATGTTCCCTTCTCATCGGAGCCCAAAACCTCTACAACATAGATCCTTGAGTTAACTTATCTCTGGACTTTAACTTATCGAGGTTCTACTGGGTATAGTTATATATATTTCGAACGTAATATAACTATATATTTCAAACGTAATTTTATTTTAGGCTATCTTTGATTCAATCTATTAAATTTTTCGAAGGCAAAAATTACATATCAATTTAAAAAATACGAAAGGATTGAAGTACTACACGTTTTTCTTCCTCTTCAATAAATAGATAAATTAAGTGAAGCGGAAAAAATTACCAAAAAATATTCAAGTCAAAGTTGTTTTTGTTAAGAGATGTAATCTTAAAAGTGCAGTGAGGTTGTAAAATTTTACTGATGCATCTTTTTAATCAAGTTCGTTAGCACATTTATTTGTCTAGACTAGACAGTGTAAAACCTAACGTATTGATACTAATTTATCTGATTAAATAGTTCTAGCTTTGCGTCAGGTTTTTAAACAGCTATCTTAAGAACTCACACCAATAAAACCAAAGCAAAAAAACGAAATATACATTATGTCCCAGTCTTTTTTAAATAGTAATTTAGTCTTTTACACATTATCTTATCTTACATCTTACTAATGTTTTAAGTGCAAAAGTTTAGATATATGGATGATTGTTTGAGTTTGTAGCCTTAACGTCTTAACGGACTTCGATGAAAATGAGGATAGAGGATAGTCTGGAAGAACTCATAGGCTACTCACTTTTTTTCATCCCACGCGGAAGGTGACATTTGGTTATAGGGATATTTTGGGTTTTAAGATAATCCACAATTTTATTTATTAAAATACTAGATTTAGCCACAACTTCGTCCGCCTGGAATTAAAAAACAAATTAAATAGCCCATGCTTTCTTCCAGACAATCCTCTACATCTATGCAAAATTTTATCGAGATCCGTTCAGTGTTTAAGCTACAAACTCTATCAAACATCCATCTAAACTTTCATATTAATAATATTAGTAAAATAGTCGTTATTGGATAAGCTAACGATTTTACAGGATTATTTCTAAAGCTAAAAGACATTTCAAAACGTAAACTCATGTCGGGACGGCACCAGGTGTTTCGTTTGAGTATATCGCCTATTAAATCTTTCTTACCAAGCAACAGGTTTACGATATCATGCAACAGAATGCTGTAAAAACGTAAGATATTAG